TTTGCTTTCACATAAGCCCGGCAATCTTGTTCTTGTTGACTAAACACGCGTCCGGTAGGATTGAGTGTCACACCCCAGTGTGTAGGATGGAGCTGAATGCTATTGTTTACTCTCAGACACAGCTTTATAGAATGGATTTGGATGAGTATTATGCTTTATGTGAGATTACCATATTCCAGTTTGCCTGGTGACGGCTACAATTTGTGTCGTTCAAATGAGTCAAACGCGCCAAGTAAGTGCAGAGGGTTCATTCGTTCTACGAATGATGTTTTATGAACTGATGTTCAAATGTCCAAATGAATTACCAGAGTCTGTTTCAACTTGTTCTTTTAAACGAGTTTTCTGTTATTTTGAGCACCGGAAAGGGGTCGACTTGCCCTCATTAAACAACGGTGACATCTGTTTTTGGAGGGTGTATGGTGATCATTTGCGTGTGAGTGTATTTCATTCAACAGACCAAAGGCCCCCCAGGGGGAGAGTGTGTGGGGGGGGGGGGGGGGTGTAGATGTGGAAGTGTCAGTCGGTATCTGCCAGCCATGCCTGGGGAGCTTGACGCCACTCTGATAGATTCACAGAGAGCACTTTGATTTCCCTGCCAGGTTCCCAGGTTCTCCAGGACTATCTCCTGACCCCCCCTCCACCTTGGGGGGCCTGCACTCAGTGGCTCTGGAAGGTGGAGGGGGGTCAAGACGGAGGCCAGAGTTCAGACTTATTTTGATAAGCTATGTTGTGACTTTTTCCTGGTTGTTCCAGGTTACTCTGTGGCCTCTTTGGTAAATATAGTCATTATTACTTTTTATGAGCAGCATACTATTTAATTAATTTTTTTAATTTAAAGACCTTTTCATAGTGACTGACTTTTTAATGCAGACACCACTCCTGTCGGTCTGGAAGTACTCAAACATTAAAGAGTTGCGTATAACACTAAATATGTTTTAAAAAGAGAACTGTGTGTTTACAAAGTTCAGGGCAATGAGATGTCAGAAAGCAGCATTGGTCCAAGCAACAGGACTGGAATGTGCGATTAGATGAACAAATACACAAATAAAACCTGCGCGTCAGAAGAAGTGATACATCTCTTTTAATGCAAACTGTTTTGTTCTAATTATATGTTCAAGTAATATCGGTTCATACCAGATGATAATATGCATCAGGTCGAAGAGTTAAAAGAATTTTAAAACATCTTTTTCAGTATGTCTACAGTTACAGTAAACTAGGCTAAATAAATAGTCTGGTTTACATGACGTTTACACACAGGAATAACAACCAAGTTATTGTCAGCAAAAAGCACAGATAAAGATTGAATATCTGTCTAAAGTTCCTTGCAAAAACAGACTTGAAACTACAGATCTAAATGAATCCAAAGGTGAAATATTGCATCTACAACAGGACTTCATCTCACTCACTTTTAAACTGTAATCTGTAGAAATGTTCTCTGATGGGTACGTTCGGTTACGGAGGATGACCAGTCATCCGTTTAAAAAAATAAAAAAAAGAGAAAGTAACTTTGGTTTCACTCGGTCTTTTAGCTGACGCTTTAATCCAAAGCGACTTACAATAAGTGCTCCGTTCATTCTTCAGCTTGTTTGGAAATTGTGGTTAAAGATCTACCGGCCCCTTTTCTGCGTTTCATAAATTATTCCTACACTTCTAACGAAGCAAAACATGTCAACTTATTTTGACCCTAAAAGCATTTCCCGTCCAAAGAGAGAGAAAGAAGCAAAGTGAAGCTCAGTGAAACACCGTCCTTACAACAAGCCTCTATTGGATTATTTCAGAGGGTCCAAATATAAATTCCGCACAGGGCAAATTGAGCATGAAACCAAAAAACACTGTATAAAAATACTCACAAACCTTCAACTTTGTCCCGGCGAGAACTCCGAAGGCGAAGAACAACGCCGGGACCGAAAAGTGAAACAAAATGCAAAACTCATCACTGGCAATGAATAATGAAATCCAATCGAAGGAGCGTATTAATAGCCCCAAACAGACCCCAGGGATTCCAATTCCCACTCGCATTACCCAGTAATGGTTCAGGCATTAACGGGACGAGTTGAATAGGATGACATGTCCACGAGAAACGGTTCCGTTTTTTTTCATAATGCCTTTTGGACGTAGATCGGCGTTAATGACGGAGGCACCCGGCAGTATGCGTCCTGCAAAGAATCAGCTGCAGCTTCTTCATCTGTACGGCTTTGGCAAAGTCACCCAAACTGCCACTGCATGAAATGTGAGGGGCAGAAAACAATGGATCTACGTGATGTGATTATCTTATTTTGAATGGATTTACATTTTGAGTCGTACAAAATTCTTTGTTGGCAGTGAATTATAATTTTCACAAATTGTAGGATGTTTCTGTTTTATTAATCCAACAAATCTGTTGTTAAGTAGAAGTGTCTTTTAGTCCCGTATACCGTCATTGGGTCTTGTTACATGCATTTATCTTGAAGCTGCAATAATCAGTTTTCGGGCCACTTGGGGGAACAAGTAACCTATAATTACTTTATCAAGTTGTCATGGCAGACATGCTCCTAAAACAACTGCTTACACGTCCATTTCTACCCAAACTCCTGAGAATAAACATCTGGCTCTTCAGCTTGCTAAAGGTTTAGGTGGAACGTCATTGGCTTTAGGGGGTTTAATGAATTATAAGAAATCTGTGAGCTTTAAATGTAACGAATCAAAGGGCAATTAGAAAAGAAAGAAGCTAAAATCCTCTATAAGGTGAGTGATCATTCTCAGTGGGTTCATGACTGCCAGCAACTCCCTTTACATTAACCGTAGTCTTTTGATTCACTCTTAGTATAAAAAAAAATGGATTGATGCAACTTAAATTAAACAACCATGCCGAGATTTCCTACAGAAATCAATGGATGGGCCGGAAACCAGGCAATTAGTCCCTTAGCTCAGTAGGAAGGATGTTCACGTACTGTTACAAGATCCAAAAACAAAGTTATCCACCTATCTTTTTTTTTAAATAAGATAATTAAAAGGTCAGTTTTGTGCTTACAAATTTGCTTCATGGGGACACACAAGAAACAAAATAACACAGACAAAGAAAACACAAATGTGATGTGATGGGAAGATCGTCTTCAACCGCCAGCCTTGTGTCAAAATGTGCTAAATGAAGTAGTTATACCAAATTAAATTACTCCTGATATCCCTGATTTCCTCTTAAGTCCTGTTCAACCCCGAGTTAACATTGACTGTGATGAATAAAAGGATAGTGAAACAGATGTGCCCATATGTTGTTGACTAAAATACGGTAAATCAAGGGGTCTGTGATGGGAAGATGCTACTTTACCTCTACTGTGCAACTACGGTTTCCGAGTAGAAGCGTCGCAATGCTGCAGTTTCTAAAGTCCACCAACAGACCTCACGTCTTCTCTTCTGTCGCTCGATCAACGTTCATACATTCGGAGAGTCACAGCAGAAATCCCCCCTCCTCCCCCCCCAGTGTTCCTGCAGATAAGTGCCCTCCCCCAACCCTCCATTGAGTCAGTCCCCCACCAGAGTTTAATTTAAGATCACAAGTTTGAAGATAGCCTGGATCTGATTTTGATGTGGTCGGTCTCGGGAAGGCTCACTATGGAGTCTTTCTTGGGTAATCCCGAGTCCCCCGGACCTGTTCCTGCACCGCCTACGGCCAGCCCTGCCCCGCCCCCAAAACCCTGTGCAGAACCAGTCAGGGGCGCCATGGGGAGGCCCCCCACGGACATCTGATGGGGCAGTACCACCCTCTGGGGAATAGCGCTCCGGGAGCCTATGTGACTTGATGGGGCGTGAGGGGGTCCGATAGAAGTGGAGGAGACCCGCGTGGACCCGGGGGGACTAGGGGCCCTTTGTTGCGCCCCCTCGTTAGGCAGCGAGGGCTGAGAGGCGGACAGCGCCCGGGCGTCTTGGCTCAAAGTGCCCATTTGCAGCGAGTGCGTGCTGGTGTGCGAGCTGGGCCGGTGGGCGGGGCTGGCCGTGTGCTGCGGCGCCAGAGAGAGCTGGGAGCCTGAGGTGGGACCAGCCAGGGCGCCGGACCCATACTGGAACCGCCCCCCGAGCACCAGCGGGCTCTGGACAGGAGGGCTGGAAAGGACGGGGGCAAAGGCACCACAAGCGAGGTACTGAGACGGCAGCGGAGACGCCGAGACGGGGCTGGACACGCTCTCCACCACCTGGAACCTCCTCACCATCCTGGGCGACTGCAGGCTCGCCGCCCCCATCGAGTTCCCTTGCACGGGGGCACAAAAGTTCATGGCCACGGCCTGCTGCAGAGTGCCGATCGCCGAATTCTGGGGGTGGGCGGAGGAACCTGGAGAGTTAAAGATCCCCCCGTAGAGAGGAGGGGTCATGGACATGGCCCGCGGTCGAGGCACGTCGACCTGCTGAACCATCTCCCGATCGTACTTGACTATCTCCTGGATCATCTCGTTCTCGCTGTTGTTGAAAACACCCGAGTTCAGATCGTGCTGGACTTTGTGCATCAGGATTGAGTTCTTCTTGCCTGCAGCGACAAGGAGACAGAAAAACAGCCAAAGTTTTACCAGCAAAGTTTGGTCCCCTATTATTATTACCTTCATTCTATTCTGGGCTACGGTGGATAGCGTAGCCTACACGTGGAATAGTCTGACATCTTCTCCCTGCACAAAATCCATCTCTGACACATTCACACAAAATCCAGAGCATTGTATTTTGCACCGATTCCTCGATACGGGGAGAGATTTTTTGCAGAGTTGCCTTAGTTCTGACAACGCGAGAGAGTCTGTTGTCATAGCGTTTGTTTTTGTTATGTCTATGGGTGCACAGCCTCTGGATAGATGATGCACTCGCTGATGGATACCACCTCGGTGTCCCACGTTAAGAGGTTTGTCTGCTGAGTTTTCCTTATCCGATGATGCAGGATGATTTATGTTGTACCGATTTTCTCTGGCAACATTTTCATTTCTGATACCGGGTGAATGAAATGGAGTTGAAAATTCGCCCCGATGCACAGAAATAAAGTCTGCCGAGTGAGTAACAGAATCCCACTTAGTCCCGCGGAGAAGCATGTTGCACGGCTTCAGCCCAGCGGCGTAATGGTAGATAGAGACGTCACAGCAGGGAAGTGTGTGTGTGTGTGTGTGTGAGAGAATTCTCCCGTCCAATCTCAGGTGGTTCATCACAGGCCGCGGCGGAGAAAGAAAACCGAGCGCCTGCGTCACAGAGGAGCGAGGTTCAAACCCCTCGGGGACTCGGCGCCGTTGGGTAAGTAACACGAGTGTGTTACAGACGGCTGCCTCCGAAACCTGCTGAGAGGGAACCTTTACAAGTTCCCCCCCCACCAACGTAATGACCATGAAGGGGGATTAAACAGACGTCAGAGGAGCCTCTTTGTCATCAATTTCTTTGATGTGTGATGAGTCTTTAAAGGATGGCGAGTTGAGGCAAACCCACCCTCGATGAGTCAGCTGTGTTCTTTGATAAGATGAAAAGAAAGTTGAGTCAGTGTTGAGGTCCTGATGATAGGAGATGTAGAAGACGGAAGGATTTTTCCTGGACGGATGCTGTACTTCTTTGGGCAACAACCACTTTCATCTATTGTTTCGTTGGATTTTCCTGTTGGCCGGACGTGGTCGGTACTGACCGTACCGAGCTTGCACAGAGCTCATGACGATGATGAAGGCCAGTCACAGGGTTTCTCTCTGCTCAACCAATGCCGCTTAGAAAAAAAACAAGATGTCCGCCTCATGCCGGCCATCTTGGCTGCACCCTGACGATCCACCGTCTGCTGTACGTGAGGACTCACAGGAGGTGGGCAGGTGGCCCTCCTGTCGTTACTTGGTTCTCCGATGCTGCAGGCGGCCAAGAGAGCTGGAGAGAAGGCCGGGTTGTTACTCACGTAGCAGAGAGGTCACAAGGGGCGCGGTGGTGAACTTGTTCCTCTCTCACACAGTCAGAAGCCCGGCCAGAAGGAGATGGACCGGGGAGGACAGATCTAGACCGCGGTGAGTCCTCCGCCCTCCTGACATGCTGCGTGGGTTCCATCTGTGGAACGAACGAAGTCCAGGCTTGCTGACAATGCCCCCCCCCCACCGGCGGGGTTTGGAGCGAGGAGGCGGAAGGACACCCTTTTACTGTGGAGAAACTCTGGTTCGAGGCGGAGAGTTCTTCAGCAATTTTAGGTCTTCAAAGTTCAAAGGGAGCACCAACTCAGTGTCGGGGGGCAAAGAGATGATGTAGGAGGCATCTTTTTCTGGGGACTGGGTACACTGTAAGGTATGTGTGTGCATGTTGGTCTTTGATGGTTATTGGTTATTCCCTTTACAGAGCCTGCTAATCATTGTAAAATAACACCGTCTCCCCCTTGTCACACTGCGTTTCCAACGCGATGCATCAAGGTTCTGAACACGACGGATAACAGGTCAGAGAGTTTTTATGGAAATAGATACTGTGGCTGCTGCTGGAGCAAACCTGGCTCCATCAAGAAAAAACACAAGTCATTATGCTCCGTCAGGCCGAACAGATCGCAAATATGCACTGCTGCTCACAGACGCACAACAGAAGAAGTCTTAAATGTGATGGAACTAGGAGATTTGGTTGTTTTTGAGGCATTGGATTGTTCTTGCATTCATAATGAGGACCGTATGGCGACGCGGTCTCTCTCAAAGCCTGAAAGCAACACAGCTTTTCCTCATTATTTGTGAGTCTTTATTTTATATTTCATATTCTTAACGCGGGCTCAGTGCTCATGATCCAGATGGAATTTTTTGACTGAACACTGTTCAACAATTATTCTGATATTCACAAAGCGCACATGGAGTCCAGTGGGAATATTTGGTTCGGCGGTTTGGTCTCGAGGCCGATGCGTTGCCCCCCCCAACACACCACACCACAAAGCATGTGAGCTGGCTGAATGCTGCTCATGGGTGGAATCTGGCTGCTATGGCAACAGCTGGGCTTTTATAGTGTGGCCATGTGACACGAGCAGCACAGCGGACGGAAGATGGAAAGTTGTTTGCATCGTAAAGTAAATCAGACAAAATGTCTAATTATGTTTGTGTGCAAATAAAGTAAATCTGTAAATTACCACAGGGAGAGAACAGAGGTACAAAAACTAATCATCCTGCTCAGTGTTTCCTGCCAGGCAACGTCACACGTGTGAAATGACAAATATCCACGGGAAGCATTCGATGTCCACGACGGATTTACAATCAGAAAACTGGATGATTTAGTCGAGAACAGTTTTTTAACCACCGACTCCCCTCCTCCTGTCCTCTTTCACTCCGAGGATCACAGCTGTCAGACAGCGCGGCGCTTTGAGTTAATGAATGAATACGTTTTCCTCTCTCGCTTCGAGTCATCTTATGAATGGCTCGTGTGGACGAGACACCGTACCCGTGGCTGCAATCAGCGATGCGTGATGCCAATTACCCGCCACTAAATCCCCAATAAATTAGGTGCGGATGTTAAGATGATTTGTACAATTATGAGTAATTACCATTAAGTAACGTATATGCTGTCTACTTGACTTGAGTAGTAATCAACATAACATTTTACTAAACGTGAAACATTCACTAGCGAAATGAGTCTATTGCCACGTTGATGCTTTTTCAGTGTATCCGAGAATTGCACAGAATTTGGAGTAGAAAAAGATGATTTAGTGTACATCTGGGTTGAAAAGGTCTCATCCGGTGCAGGTCTTACCTATGCGGTCCAACCTGTCAATGGCCACCGTCTCGAAGGCCCTCCTCATCATGGGGTACTCCTCCAGCACCTCGTTGAAGTTGTCCACGGAGAGCGAGTACAGGCGGCAGTAGGTGTCCGCTCGCACGCTGGCCGTCCGTCTGCCGCGGGTCAGCAGACAGATCTCTGGAGGGGGGGGTCGGAGGGGGGGGGGGGGGGGGGGGGGAACAAGGAGAGGTCACACTCCCCCAGCGGGACCGAAAAAAAAAATAAAGGGAGACGTTCTTTGAGCAGTGGCGGTCTCGCGAGGTTTCGCGGCAAACCCCCACCCGCCCATTTTAAGAGAACGCCGCGAGTATTTTGGGGAATGTGAGACAAAATATCTTAAAATTTGCGATGTCGCCTCTTTCTGTGGGATATTTATATCTTCTTCATCGAGAGTGGTCTTACGACAGGCGGGGGGCCCCTTTTTCTCTCCGCGGTGAAGGGGCGCCCTCTCTCGCGCTTCAGTGGAAAAACCCGACACGCGGGGAGACTCCATTAAGAGGAGAAGTGGGGGGGGAAACAGGAACTGTAGTTCAACTGCAGAAAACCGGGTGACAGACCTACGCGCGTCTTTATAAATGAATGCAAACACAAAACCAGTGTCAGATGAGCGTTAATTAGTCAATCCTTTTGAAGCTGCAGGTAACTTTTACAAAAAAACGCTTCCGCAAACTGTCGCTGCGTTTTGACCGCAGTGCATGAGACTGAGAATCGGTAAAGAACGATGATGAACGGGATTCTCTGCCTCCTCGTGGAGCTCCTAATGGCCTTCGCCAGGTTCTGGCACCCGGAGGAAAACAACCAATCAGCCCCGAGGAGCCTCCAACCGCACACGCGCCGCGGGGATTGATTGACAGCTGCGTTGGAGACTCCTCGACTCTGATTGGTTGTTCTCATTTTAGCGAGGGAGGAAAAAAAGCCATGCGGAGCACTTGGAGGAAGTTTTGCAGGGATCATCTGTCTCACGCACGTCTGTCAACAAGAGCAGATATGAGTTATTTTTTATTCTACTTATATAAAATAGGCCTGTCAGCTTTATTGCTGGTGTGTCCTCCACTGCATGTAACCACCACGCCGTCTAATGACAACAGATACTGTATTTAAGTGTGACCGTGTTTCCTGCCTGATTAAGGATTTATATTTCCTCTGTAGAATAATGACTAAGAGCCCACGCTTATAGATGGACAGAGGTCCTCGTGGGCCGATGTAGCATATGAACTCCTTTAAACCGAAGCATGTTGTGCGGTAAACGCGCTGTTGTCTAACAACATTGGGTGAGTCGTCTTATTTCCATATGAGAGATGGTTTTAAGCATTTCAGATACTGTAGTTTAGTGAAAGCTGTGTGGAAACCGTCCTCAGAATCCACACGAAGTGACGGACGTCCTTTTCAGACGTTTCATTCGGGATCTTTCTGCTTACACAGGACATAACGCGAGCATTTACATATCGCCAGCATCATTAGTGGGATGTGCTGGGAGAGAATTGTATTCTAATGAAACCGCCGGGGCTCCATTAAGAAGCCGTTCAAACCAGTCGGTAACAACTTGCTTGGGCAACTGTTTTTGGGACGATGACTTTTTCCTTCCCTTGAGCCTTGGATGTGCTGTTTCGTGTTCTTATTCCTCTTCTCAACTATTTTAGCTGTAAGAAAGAGAAGTGACTTGGTGGCAACATGTTGTGAAAGCTTGGTCAGTTAACCAGTCACACAAACATGTGCATCGGTACAGCAGTCAATGTGCAAAATAATCAAATAAAACTGTTTCCAATATTTTCAAAAAATCTAAAAAATCAAGCGTTGTGCGCATTGTTCCGCCAGATTGCATTTGTGAAATAAAAAGGAGCCAAAAGCATATTTACAGGCATAGAAACCGGCCTACAAAGCTCTGTTTGAGAAATGTGAACATAAATGTAGCAAAAGCCAAGAAGTGTGACGTTACGAAATAACAAGGATATCGAATCTGGAACCTGATGTTTGTAACCACGTATCTAAACACCGTTAAGTCACATGTTTCGCATGACATCATCGCCTGTGCACTAATGGAGAGATTCCATCACAAACACACATACACACTCCGTCCAATCCAAGTACGGACAGAGATCCGTGAACTCCCCCCCCCCCCCCCCCTATTTGGACGGGGGTAAATAGCTTGCACTAATTGGAAGTGTGAAGGGGATGGGGCACAATGAACATACCGCCCTGGGATCATAGTCTTCTGGGTTTTTCTCCACAACAGGCTTTTGTCTTAAGGGGGTCTGTCTGTCGGCGGTTCTGTCTGTCGGCGGTTCTGTCTGTCGGTGGTTGTCCCTGCACTGGTCCTGCCGTACATCCGGCTTACTACTCGCTATTATTTGAATCATTTGTGTCGTGGGAATTGAATGTATCGTGCATTGTTCATTCTGTACACGTGACATCATTGTAGTCTGTCCATCCCGGGGGAGGGATCCTCCTCGGACGTCCTCCCTCAGGTTTCTTCCTTTTTTCCCCATGGAAGAGTTTTTCATGTGAGGGTTTCGGGACAGAGGAGGTCGCATGTGTACAGACTGTGAAGCCCTCTGAGGCGAATTTGGAATTTTGGGCTATACAAAATGAATTGAATTGAACCCTGGTTCACTGTAGAGGACAAAAGAATATCGAAATTTTGTAAAAAAAAAAAAAAGATTTTTTAAAGGTGTGTGGGTGTATTTTTCTGCAGGCCTGTGTGGCGCCGCTTGTTTCCAAACCGCCCCGGAGGGACAACAGATGGAGAAAGAGGGAATATTGAACAAGAACTTCAAGTGAAATCTCAAGGTTTCTTCTTGAACTGCTTCTGCCTACAATCCGTATTCAAATGGTACCCACACATCTGTGATAGTGCTGCATTTTATTGGGACTCATGATGTCAACAGCTGTTCTGTTTTACTGCTGGATGGAAAAGCACAGGAGAGAAACATGCGGGAGACGTTCCCCAGGTGACGAACCTCCAAAGTAGGAGCCGTCCATCAGCTTCATGCCGATGCTTCCTTTGGTCAGGACGCTGACCACCCCGTGCTGGATGAAGTACATCTTCTTGCCGACGGTGCCCTCTCTGATGATGTAGTCGGCGGGCTGGAAGACCTCGAACCTCAGCTTGGTCAACATGGCCGTCACGAAGTTGGGATCGGCGTTGGCGAACAGCGGCATGGTGGCCACCAGCTTGCGGCAGTTGAAGTTGACGATTTCCTGGATGTCAACGAGGGCGGGAAATGAGTCACAGCGTCACTGCGAAGGTCTGACTCTGCGTTTCTCGGCCCGGTGTGGTTTCTCACCTCGCGCAGAGGCTCGTTGAGCTCCTCCAGGATGCTCTCCTCGTCAAACATCTTGCCCTGGTACCTGTGCTCGTAGTAGTCGTGGATTTTCTGCCGGAAGTCTGCCGGCAGCTTGTGGAACGACATGTACTGCTCCACCTGTTTGTACTGTAGAATGGAGACACAAGGAGCACAAAGCCACGGAATCAAAACTCGGCAACTCTTGATCTCGATTTACGACGCATCATCGCTGTGTTTTTTATTCGCAAAACACGCAGAACGACTCCTTCATCGCACCCGCCAGGTGAGTGAATGATGAAGACGTTTGTCATTTTATGTCCGGATTGATAAACCTGTGAAGCTTCGTCATCACATATTTGCCACTGTCATGTTTATCTGCAGCAAATGCAGGCCAGATGTGTGTACTTCTCTCTCCTCTTCTTGATGCTACGTAACTCATTTCACGCCTGGATTCCCTTTGAAAACAGCAGCCGGGGGATCTGCTGCGTGGGGGGGGGGGGGGGTTGTGTCAATCGAGAAGCGAATCTCAGGAATCAGGAAACATTTATTGCCAAAATATGTCAAACATACAAGGAATTTGTCTTGGCGGTTGGTGCGTGACAGTAGACAGTGTAACAACAGACAACAAGACAGCAGTGCACAGGTAATAAAAATAAAGACGTCCCCGAGATCCACATTCTCGGGGACGTTCACAGCGATCTTGATCGATCGACCGCCTTAAAATGGGATCACTTATTTCCAGAGACCCGGTGGAAGCTTTTACGCAAAAGAGCCTGAGATTTTGAATCCACTGGAGGTCACAGTAACCTTTGACCCCCAGTTAACTCAGTGCCTCCTGGAGTTCAGGTGAACACATTTTGAAGAAACCCCAGATGTTCCTGGGATGGAGCCCGAATTCAATGGAAAACGGAAGCATCAAAGCAAGAGAATTGTGAATGAGCTGTTGGTGGACTCGATGATCAATACTGTGTTGTTGGAGGTCTCTCTCTCTCTCTCTCTCCCTGTTTGTGTGAGTCCTCCCTCCTGAGGGATCATTGTGTTGGATGAGTACTAGATTGTCAGCAGAGTTTCGAGGGAGAACCTCCCTTGTTTAAAACCTCACCACGAGACCCCACAGGAACCCTCGGAGCCGGAACGCGACGGTTAGTAACGCTTCCTGCTGGGCGAAAAATAAATTGATTGCGTCCTGTGGAGCAAAGCCGCCGTTGTTGTTTACAGCTCACCTGTGGTTTTGGGGACGTCTGTCTTAATCAGCAGTTGTAATTTGTTTTCCTCCCACCTTTTTTGAAGTTATTGTTGTCGCGCTTCGTGTTTTGACCTCCGCTGAAGAATAACGGGCAGGAAAAAAAAACTAAATGTGACAAAACAAGACTTTGCCTGCACATAACTGAGTTATGTGCAGTAATAAATCAAATAAATTGTCAAAAGTTTAAAACGGCCTCTGAAGATATCGAGATTCTGAAAAAACCACAGTCGATATTTTTCATAGGTGAGAAATGAAAAGAAGGAATCGGTGCAGGAACAAACAGACGCCTCCATACGGGGCACAAATACATCACTAATGATGCGAATCATATGCGTAATACTTAAGTCTATTTCAAGGGTTCCTTTCTGCTGCTTGGACGAGCTGAAGAACCCTTTATGCTTCTAGTTGGCACCATTAGAGGTTAAATCTTCATCTGTTATAATGTCTTTCTGCCTTTTCATAACAAATTCTCCTAAAAATTCAGTATTCTCCAAATCTCTCCTCTCCTGATATAATTATATTTCCAACATGCGTTTGTTACACGCAACCATCTGAGAAACCAGTCAATGGAAACTTTGGCTTTGGCTTTGAAAAGCAATAATACTTGGCAGCTGATTGGATGAACTGATGTGGTATCGTGAGAATCCAGATGTTTTGGAAGGAAAGTGGCTGAAAGTTCCCCCGGTGTGTCGTACGCACTTCAAATACAAACTAAAAAGACGTGCATACTAAATGGAACTCCAGATGGATCGTTGACTTTAATGAACCACATTATGAGATTACTGCAAAAAAACAATTAACTGCATCCTTTTCCTTCTTACGTAAGCCAATTTTTATCTTAATCTCATTCAGTTTTGATTCATTTCCTGCGGCCAGACGTCTTCAGAAGGAAGGAATACTTTTGGTGAATATTTACCCTTCAAAAAAAAGTTTCCAGACCTTGAAGAACTAAATATTGTTCGTTTTCCACTCCTTTTCCACCCAACGTCACAGACTTTATCCTCTTACACGGCATTAATTATGCAGCGTCCACTTAAATCGAACTGCGGGGGCCGGGGATGCAGATACGACCGGACTCAGATCCTTCTGCAGTTTACTACTTAAGTATAAAACTTAAAAATGCATTACATTCCTGAAATCCAATCTGTCCCTCTCGGCCTCTCGACTTAGCTGGGGGGGGGACATGTTTTTTTTTTTTTTAATGGGACACAAAGCCCCGACTTGGTGGCTGGCGAGCATGATGCATGGCTGTCACTGTAAGCTGCCACAGACGGAAGGCACAAATCGAATCGGACCTCCAATTAAGGGGCCGTGTCGCTGGGCGCCAGGGCTCGCGATTCGTGACGAGTCTCATATCTGTGTGTGTGTGTGTCTGTGCGCACACACTTATAGGCTCTCATACGTATGCGTGCATAAACTCACTGTATCATGAATGACTCGGAGGTTTACACAAGAAAAACTATTTTCTCTCATTTCCTACTGTGAATTAAATGTCGCACGACAGAAAGTTCAAAATGTCCACGTTACGAAACGTGCGATGCGTTCTGATTTTGATTCACCGATATGTGTCTAATATGATAAAACCGTTCCATCTCCGAAGATCACACTGACGACATTAATCCAGGTTGACCCCTTAATCACATATTGTTTTCTCTTCATGAATGTGGACCAAACAGGAGGGAATAAAAAATCTATATAAAGAGGATTACTTAACGGTTCACGCAGATAAAATTGTGGAAAATGTTCCACAGTTCGGCCCTGATCTTTCACTGCTGCTTAAGGAACCATCTCCCGACTCTACGGAGGAGGAAGAGTCCCACTGAACGAGTGGTCGAACGCTCCGGCAGAGCCGCCCCCCCCATATCATCTGGTTATTTTCAGTGTCAGAGACGCCGGTAGAGAAGTTCAGGCCTCGTTACGTCCTCGGGTCCCCGTTCACTGTGTCAGTATCCAGAGGGTCGCCGCTGGAGGTCACATCTCTCCGACTCCCGACCAAAACCCAGAGCAGCTTGCTCGTGAGGGGGAAGAAGTGATTGGGGGGGGGGGGGGGGAGGTACATAAACCGCTTAACCCCCTCCCTCCCTTTGCGGCGTTCGCTGGGGGAAATAGCGTAAGGAAAAAAAAAGGACATATTAAAGTCCGGGGGGGGGGGGGGGGAACACTGTTGCCACTCTTACCTCCAAAAGGGGGGGTGACGAGGGGACGGCGAGCTGCTGTCACGGCCTCGTTTGTGCTGCAGCGACAGCGTCCGATAGCGATGGATCGGCCGGTCGCGTGTAAAAGGTTCTTATGGGGAGTTAGCAGGCCGAGATAGCGACTTAAATGCTAGGGTCAAACTAAAAGTCATAACGGGAAAACAGTGGATATGATTATCTAAAATGTAAGGAAAAACAAAGGCAGCAACGGGTGAAATTAAATAATTGAAAGGTAAAAGTTAGTGTAAAAGTAGCAATTAAATAACTGAAATAATTAGAGTGGAAATGAACGGAGATGAACAAACAGTTGAATAATTAACTAGAAATCGTTTTTAGCTTAATGGGAATTCAAAGAATTCAAATGAATGGCTGCTTCCCTCCCTTATCTCCCATTCACCGTGTTTGTCTCTATTTATATTCCTGTGAGACCCTCTGGAGACGCCGCCAACCAAGCAACATGTGTCCATTACGTGATGAAGCAAAAAGAAAAAGACCAGCCTGCTTTGTTTGACTCTTGATGCCACAGTAAACGCTCCAAACTCTCATCTGTCTTCGCTCTGTGAGGAGACGGAGCCTCGCTGCTGGCGCCGTTACGACGTTTAGGTCCCAACGCCGAGCGCGATGCCATCTGTTTATTCTGTCTATGTCAACACAAAGCTGTGCGGTTGCCAGCGTTTACTTTTATATTTAGATAAATAATCAGTTCCGTCAGAAAGGAACGCTTCCGCCGTCCAGCTCCGTCTGCGCGCCGCTATCGGAGGGAGGGACGGCGTGCTGGGCGAGTTGCTCTGGTCCGTTATTCCACTGCTGTGCATCACGGGGGGAAGAGGGACACGGGACTGACGTCACACCGCAGCATAGTGCAACTGACGCAGAACAGACCCTCCAGCAGAGGATCAGCGGGCCTTTTCTCTCAACCTTTCCCCTTTTCAGTCCCCGAGCTCGCCGCGGGACGACGACCTTCGATGTCAAACATCTCGACTGCAGAGCAAATACAAGTGTCTTGTTTTATGTGCCGTCTGGTTCATTCAATTCGGTTATGTACCAAATTTTGTGATGAGTGGAGGAAATTTCCATGAGGAATGGTTAATAAAAAAAATCATTGGCCTACATATCAGGAGAGCAGAGAGAGAATAACGCCCGGATACGGCGGCGCCACTTTTGCTCAGTTTCCACCGGCGTCATCGCAGAAAATGTTTTGTCTTCGGGTAAAAACTTCAATCGTCGGTAAAAAATATCTCGTACCGCAAACAACGGGAAGAAACTTGGAAGGAACCTTTTGCGCCAGCAAGGCGCCACCGTGGGGTCCAAAGGTCGTGACGACCGTGTGAAGACAGGAAACGCGTCCATTTTACAAACGGACACTTGGATTAAGATCGTTGTCAAACGCCGCGTCACTGCTTGAAGTCGCAATCAATCTGCAAAGAACCTTTTGGGATGTGCCTGCTAACTAACAAATACTATAACCAGAGAAAATAAGGAAAGGAGAACAATTCAAAGTGTCACTTATCCAAACAAAGATAATTAAGTTATTTCAGAGGGATGTGCAGAGGCTAAAATGAAGTAATAAAATAAAAAACTAAGTAAAGAAAAACGGAACATAATTAAGATGTAAAAATAGAAAACATGATCAAAAGAAGAAAACAAAAATTGGAGTTAGTGAGTCTGAACTTCTTTAGGTGGGTCAGTCTGCAGAGCAACGTAAGATCACTGTCTCAGCGTCTCAGGTCCACACCCCATACCTTCAGTACCTAGCGTAGCATAGAAGTGCTAACACTATGCTAACGTCCTCCGCTAGTGTTAGCTCCACAGATTTTCGAAACGTAACATTTTAGAAAAGCACGTCTCATTCCAACTTCTCCGTGGAATCCCTATGACAAATGAAAATTCCTCCATTCAACAGAAGAACCCTGGACCCTGGTTCGAGCGGGCTGATGTTGCGCAGATGTTACGCTAGGATTAGCCGGCTACATTCGAGGGGGACCTTTGTTTTGGAAAAACAATTTGTGTTCAGAACGAACCAACCTTTTAAATGATGCCTTATATCTTTGACCGAAACCGCTGGGGCGAAGCACATCGTTGAAATGCATTTATGTGCATCAATCATACACAGTAATACACAAAGTTCAGTATGCTAAGTGGGACGGAGAACCCCAGATCCATTGATAATATTTCCATTCCCTGCTGCATTTACCATGCATATATTTCTGACACACGCATACAGGAGCCTCATTACTTTTTAAATACCAGCACAGCTGCTCTCACAAGCCTGTTGGTCTGCTATAAGCTTAACATCACGGATCCTCCCCGCTAGCGTGACCTAGAAAAGTAAAGCAAGGTGATCATCTATTCAACACATTGCACAGCCTGAAGTAATCAAATAAACAGGCGAAACGTCGTATGACTGAACAAGAGAGACGTAAACCTGATCACCCTTTGTTCTGAACAGTGACTTCAGCCAAACAACAAAGGGCCGACCGACGGCGTGCGTGCGTGTCTGCACGCAGGTGTACGGACATCGAACCAGGCGGGTTCCAATGGCGCCAACAAGACGCAGGGCGTCTTTTTGCAGCAGGACCGCAGCTCCCCGCGCTCCCCGACGCTTTGATCGGCTACCGAGACCTCGGCGAGCGGCAGCCGCGGACATCAAACCCCTCGAGCAGATGCTGCCTCTATCAAACCCTCCCGTGTTCACATATATCACACGCGTATTTACAGGGCGCAGCGTAGATCACATCTCCTCGGGGAGCGTCCTCATGGCCTCTTGCCGGGCTACAGATGGAGGCGCCACTGGGGCGTCCTGGGAAAAGTGATCCTGCAGCTATGATTCATTCCACAATCTAGCCATGCAGATGTCTCTTTTCCCCTTTTCTCAGACATCTGCTGCACAGTGGCGGCGCTCAAAGCGTTGACAAAGAGTCAGCAGCAACTCTTCCCAGAGAAAGGGTCCCAGTGGCTCCGGATAATCCACGGAACACACCGTTTTCATTGGGATTATTTCAATATCCACGCTACATGGTATCGCAACTGTTCTGAACACCATCTGTGGATTACTCAGAATAACAAGAGCTGCTGCTGGATTTACCCAAAGAATAGTTTTGGTAAATACTTTTATTCGTTCTCCTTCTGGGAGTCGGACCAGAGCGGCCATACCAATGTCACATACATACATGGTAGAAAGAAATATTTAAAAAATATGTATTTATATGAATGTAGGGCAGATGAACTTGGCGTATTATTTTTTGGACCTAGCCTTCATGCTAAGCTAAGCCACTTAGCATCATGCTAAGCTAAGCCCCTTAGCATCATGCTAAATGTAGATACATCTTTAATTCAATCCAAAGTAAAAAAGCAATAAGCTATAAAGCAAATAAGCACCAGTCCCAGATTGCCGTGCGGTGCTTTTAAAGCTACTACGAGGAACTTTAGTCATGTGATGATTTTGCCGATTAGGGTTTCAGAGACTCGGAGTCCCCTTTGAAAAAAACCCTCTCATTTCATTGCATATTTCGGGCATTAAGAATGACCACATGGCAGCAACGGATCTCCTCACTGAGGGTCTCATTGAGCTTCGTAGGTGTTAAAGAGGCATCAGTCTTCCATTGAGACTGTTTAATAACCTGTTCACAGTAACTTAAACTCAAAAATCCCCGCTTTGATCACAAACAAATTCCCATTTTGTAACAACCCGGTAATCAAACGCGTCTACTTTTTCCCTTTTGTTCGCGCTGACTCCACATCTGCTTATAACATCAAGTGCACCGAAAGCAGCCGGATCCCAACCTTTTCCTGGTACTGCCGCCTGGATGAGTCCAGAGACTGGATGAGTGCGGTTGCGTGGCCGATGAACATGGCGTAGCAGGTGGCGCCGACGATCATGCTGAGCATGGTCAGCCAGATGTCCGACATGCTCTCCGGCGCTTGTCTTCCGTATCCGATGCACAGCATGTGACTCATGGCCTTGAAGAGGGCGAAGGAGTAGAGCTCGCTCCACGAGTCGTTCTGCAGGGGGGGGGGCGGGGGGGGGGGAGATGGAGGAGAACACGAGTTAGGGAAAGAAAATACAGGAAGGTTATCGTGTCCTCCTGGAGGAGCTCGTATTGTCGTGGTGAACGCTGACTTGGTAATGAAGCCGTTTCCACATAAATGAGGCATCACTGCGCGTTGGCTCGGTTTCTGGTGAACGTTTCAGCTCTGGTGGGGAGAACTGATCCCGCTGATCATCATCGGCGAGCCGCCTCGCCCTTCTCTCGGGCCAAAGCGGGAGAAGAAGAAGAAAAACCAGAGCGCGTATTAATGAGCAGGCTGTTTGTCTGCCTCCTGCAGTACGTCCGTGATTGGTGCTCAAACACTCCGTCAACCGTGATCTCCCCGTGTTGGATTCATTATGAAGCCCTGAACCTCACATCCTGCCCTCAAACAGCTGTGGTTCACACACACACACACACACACACACAAAGTCAGAGCGCTGTATGTGCGTTTCTTCTTCTGTCCCTCTCTGAGGGTCTTCAGTCACTGATTGACTGCTTGGATTCGTATCCGATTTGTTTTTTTTTCCAGGAACATTTGCATTTCATTTGAGATTCAAATTTGGTTCTTGTTTTTTTTTCTTGTTTTTTTTGGAGGCGAAAGAGGCTAAAAAGAAAATGTGTGTCGACAGAGACGATTGGAGTAACCGCAAAGAGAGAAAACTAGATATTACATTTGAACGTTAAAAGAACCATCATCTCCGGCTTTGATGTTATTTCTGTAAAGCTGCTGCTGTCTGTCTCACAGCCGCCTTTAAGCTTATTATAACCATCGATATTTCAGACAAACCCAAACAGAACAATTGAAGCACCCCCACCTCAGTCCCCCCCCCCTCCCCAGCCTCCAGTCAGCCGTGAGCACGCTGCTGGATGAACAGCAGGGGGAAGGAGGCCCCGAGCCGGAGCCCAGGTAGAGAAATAAACACCTTCTTACACATGGCTGCATCTGTCTCTCTCTCACACACACACACACACACACACACACATTAAGACACAATATATCAGCGGAAAAGCACCAGAAGATGACATCTTCACCCTCATCGGGATCAATCCTAAATGTAGTTATATTACTCTGTACAAAGGAAATAATCAGATATCTAGAATGACCTAATGAGTAAAGTAAAGTGAATAAAACCATCTATTAATATAGCGTGTGACATTTATAAGACAATATTACTGTAAATGCCCTGAACTCATCTGGTTTTCATGCAAACAAATCTCCTCGTCTACTGTGACTCTCCGACAAGCAGAATGCAAGCTTTATGTTCCTCAAACGGGTGTGAGAGGGGAGACGGAGACGGCGCGTCCTCGCCGCGGTGCCTTTCAGCTCGTCTCAGCTCATCGCTCGCGGCGACACAATAAACGAATTCGACGGGAGACACCAGCCTCTCTAACGGGCGTTTGATTGACCATCGATCTCCAGCGATCAGCGTGGACGAGAGCCAATCGTAATACGTTTAGGCCGAAACACAAAGGCCATGTGGGGTCATGTGACACACGGGGGGGGCGAGTTTGGAACAGTGAGTGTACGTGCGCGCTGGCACGTCTGTCTGGGTTCACATGCTGTTTGAGACCCAGCATGTATTTGAATGTATGTGTATACGTGTGTTTGTGTGTGTGTGTGTGTGTGTGTGTGTGTGTGTGTGTGTGTGTCCCTCTCGGACAGTTTGGAGACGAAACACTAGCGTCGTCGGAGCCACATTTAGATCACACTGACATTTAGGATTTTAATATGTAGACTGAAGACCGTGTAACCGACGTGAGTATTTATTATTCAGAACCAGCGGGATTCTGTTTGTATTCATAATTTAATAGCAAACGCGCGCGGGAGGCTGGTGTCTGCGGGAGGAACCTGATAATATTAATCAGGAATGCTGACAGTAAAAGCAAAAAAACGATTTCTCTGCATCATCAGAGTGTTCATGTTCAATTGGATTGTGTGTTATTGAGATTTCGGTGTTTCGAGGCGGCCGAGTTTGAAAATGGCACAATTTTAAATGCTTAAACTGGATGATGTCATAAGGTCACGTCAGCTAAAGAAAAGGGAGTCTCTGTTTTTTGGGAGGACATGAGTCTAGTTTCCTCATCCCAGATTTATGTTTCGAGTCCAAAGTGTCCAAGAGTCATTGAATTGCGAGACCCCAGCAGGGGGGGGGGACACATTCCAAGGAGCCCCCGTCTTAATTTGGAACACGGATTAAGGGTAAGCGTGGTAACAATCAGACTCAATTAGACCCAATTTTATAATTCATAGGAAACTAGTTGGCAAACTCCCTTTGCGGAGTTCTCCACTTTGAGCATCCGGCTCTGAAGGACCCACCTTGGCCCTTCGGCCTCGTCCTTCACAGGACTCAGAGCCTCCGCATTGAGACACAGCTGCAGATTTCCGACCGCTGTCGCTGTGCGGCCGCGTGCATCCGCGGAACGTGTCCCGTCGGTTGATGCAAGCTGGGGCCAAATCACTCAAACTCAAAGCCTGTGTGCTGCTGTGATCATGGCAAGTGGGAGGGAACTGCTCTTAGATTCAACAACGTCGGGAAAAGCCCCACTGATGGGCCAACGTGCACATCGGAGGGAACTTTAATAATGTTGGTTTTACGGGGCCAACAACAACTGTCGTTGGTTCAGTCAACGTTCTACAAACTTTACTTCATTTCACTTATTACCACATGAAAGACTCGTTTCAAGTCTTTGGCTGTTACAAAGGATCCATCTCCACCTGCCACTCGCTTGCATCGCCTTTATGTTATAAATCACACACAGTTTGTGGTAAATGTTCGCCTCTGTCACATGTGTTTTGCAAATGAATATTGGTTTACTGACATTGGTTACACTTAATAATGCAATGAATTAGTGCAGCAAGAAGATGAGCTGCGATCACGCGATCGCCGCGCTGCAGGAGCCTGATTGTCGAGCTCATAGCAAACAGCGCGTGCTCGTCTTCTACCAGCCGCACGTGGTGTTTCTGAGGTTTTGACTACATTACAGGAAGAAGAATGTCACACGCACAAAGACGGACAGACGCGCGTGCACGGATATGGAAGTAGGTGGTGCACATCAGAGTGCACGGAATCAGGTGCTGTTTCTATCAGAGCCCGAGTGCATGAGGATGAGTATCATTTAACGCCCCGCGTCTCTCATCCGGAGCCACTCGGAGGAGGATCTCTGACCTTGATTACCGGGAGGCGGAGAGCGGCGGGGGGGGGGGGGCATTAGCTCGGAGAAAATTTGAGCAAGGCGAGCTGGAAAAGACAGGGAGGGAAAAGAAGCCCGACAGCTGAGCGACAGCCATTTACTTCCTCTACGTCACCCCCCCCCCCCCCCTTTTGGAGATAATGACCATAATGCACCACTGTAATGTGCCTGGTCTGAGATTGCAAAAGAAATCGACATCAACACAAAATGTATATATGAGGTGGAAATCAATTCTAATTAGAGGCCGTTATGGTCCATAATAGAACCGTCTCCACTAAGTCACTTTATCCTCTCAGTTAACTTCAGTCAGACGTTACACACTTATTGGCCTCCGTAGTCACAGTGTTTTTTTGTGCTGGAGGTCACAAACCTTTGTGCCAAAACTAGAAGTTCCAACATATGAAGCATTTCTAAGAGTCTCCTTCGTTAGTTACTTTACCATCTAGATGGATCCCAGGAAAGTTGTATAACATACAAGTTGAAAAAGAAAAGAACCGGTTGAGCAGAGGGCAACGGGGCGGACGTGTTTATAAGAGCTCACATCCCCGGACTTCTCCCGCTGCCTCCGGCTCCGTTATCTCTCCTACGCGTGACGAGTCAGACAGGGAGGAAGGGATTAAGCCCGAGATGATGAAAACACAAACGTTTTTCTGACACGTGGTGTAACAGTACAGCCTGATTAGTTTTGCCGTGCTGCTTATTCATTGCAGTGCTTCAATGCCACGCGAAAAATATTGATGTTATATTTGTTGGAATTCCCAACAGGAATCTATAAACCACGAGTCTTTTGGTAGATTGTAGATTGTGGTTCAACGAAAAGATGCAGTCTTAATTCAACTTTATGTGCTCTAAAATGCTCTATTTCTTCTACTTTACTGACTGATTGTGGATTTATTGTTTCTCTCTCTAAAGCTTGAGACGGGATTTAAAGAGAGAACTTTATGGTTCAAGAAGTGTGATGTTTGGCCAAACAAAGGCAGGTTAAAGGTTAGACACCCACATGCTCTAAATAAGGATTTTTCACTAATGATCTGGTCTGGATTGTTGTTTTTCCTGCAGCTCAAGTGTTTGTTTTCTTTGTGTGATTTATTTTCTGTCATGTCAGCCTTCATTTGGGCGATAACCTCTCCTAATGGTCCGTCTCCCAGCAGATGGCTGAGACGCTACCGGCCAGTCCGAACGATGGAAGGACATCTGAGGGGAGACGTGAAGAACTGGAGAGAGAAAGAAGACGAGTGAACCGAGGGAAAGCGCGCTCTGTTTTCATCCCTCGCACACTGGCTCGTCTCCTGGGTTCAACTAGAGAAGCTTTAATTGAGGCCGGTCCTGCGTGGATGTGTGTGTGTGTGTGTGTGTGTGTGTGTGTGTGTGTGTGTGCAGACTCAACCTTAAATAAATCCTATTTCCCCATCTGCCTGCCGATAGCACACGTCTGCGCCCCGCTGGGGGACACGTTTAACGCTTTGGCTCTGCAGCCCACTTTGCGTGTTGGATTTTCTCCGGCGTGCTGAGGCCTCTTTTTTTTTTTTTTTTTTTCCCCGCTTACCACCATCTTGTTGAGGGACACCCAGCAGTCCGACGGGAAGTCCTGCAGCATGGGGACGAGGAACTGGAGACAGCCGTCCCAGTGGCACAGCAGCAGCATCATGCCGATGAGGTTGAATATTCGCATCACGGCACTCGCCAGGTCATAGGTCATGTGGAAGATCTGTCGGGAGGAGGGAGAGAGACAGAGAAAGATGTGTGATGGGAATGAAAAATCCGATTGCACAATAAAAAAACGCAGACAGTACAATAAAAATAAAAAAGAGAATATTTCCAATTATGTTGTATTTTATCTACAGGAGATATTTGGGCTCACATCCATCTCTTTAAGCTGTATTTATTGACTCATTGTATGTTTTATTTGTTTTGGCTTGGGAGCAGAACAAGATACCGTAAACAAATAAGTGACACATTATCATTATTATTTGTATTCTCATCATCTGGACAACGTCAACATCTGGAAATGACACTGATGAGGAAAGACTGAACCGGACCGGTTGTGGACCAAAAAACCCAAACAATGAGCTAAAAGACGTCTGCAGCGTATATGACACACACTCCAGCTCTGCTTCATGGGCCCTTTGCTGAGTTGTCATGAAAAAAAACCCCACAAAGGCTGATTTCTCACTTTGTCCCATTTATTACTTCAGGTGCTTTAAATGTACTTCACACTTTAGCATTGCACCTATTTGCCGTCTGTACACTGAACACCTCCTTCTTAGCGTCAAGGTGTTGCTTCCACTTGGTGGACCTTCAAATATCCATCAAATAGACGTTGAGATTCTTCTTTATTCTCGTCTGCGTGTTTTAACTTTTCTCTTCCCCGTCGGCTGCAGACCGAATGCCAAAGATGAAACGTTCTCTCTCCTATAAGGGCTCACGGGCCTCAGCTAATCTGGCCGCGGGGAGCAGGGGAGCGCGCCGAGGGCCCCGACCCGTGGTCAGGAAGCGTTCCCGTCATGATTAATGAGGCTCCTGGACTGATGGGCACCCCGAACGGCACTTGGCCATGTGTCACTGTCGCGCCACAATCATTACTCCGACCACCGCTCCCGGGCCTGAGAAACGCAGATAAAGCTGCGTCCTGCTACCCGCCGGCGGCGGCGCGTTGGCAAACGGAAGGGTTGGGACGGCGTGCGTTTCAGATAAAACGATGGAGCCTGGTGAATATTCATTTAGAACGGCATCTTCTCCAGTGCAAGTGGGGAGACTTGAAACAAGCTTCCTGCTGCAGGAAATTGCTCTGGTTACTCCAGACAACACTTATCTGTGCTTGTGTGTTGGGCTCTGCCACACGCACACGCACGCGCACGCGCACACGCACACGCAGCCGGTCTATTCAGAGATCCCTTCTGACCTGACCTGTTCTTTCTTTTCTCTTTTTTTCTTACGAGCGACGTGGTTGAGTCTTCGGGAGCTAAGTGGTGAAATCATCACAACTCCGGGATGATCTTTTGGGGAAAAAGCTGAGCCGTGCCGAGCCGAGCCGAGCCGAGCCACGTCTGCGTGGAGCAGAGCAGAGCTCAGCTGGACTGAGCGCCGGCGAAGCAGCATTGTGACGTCTTTGAGTCAGTAATTCGAGTTCTCCTGGACCTCAAATAACCTCTCGGCAAAGACCAGAGGAAGTTATGCATCGTCGGCGTGAGGGAAGCTTTGGATGCTGGGATGCTTTAATAATACAAATGTGGAGTTTCCCTTTCTGTCCACTTAGCAGGCAGGCTGTTACGCAGTGTGTATGAGAAATAACTATTTCCTGATGTGTCTACTGTGATCGGAAGGCTTGAATGTCATAATCAAACAATAATAAAAACAGAAGTAGATTTAGTTATGAAAACAAAGAAAAGGTGATTAGTGTCTCCGGGACCTCGGCTCCTTCCTCGGAAAATCCCTCTTCCATTTCCCACTAACTAGAACAAATTCTTAATTAATCAGCACTAGCTAATCATGCAGCTATCAGGCTTATTGCGTTACGACACGGCGAAACCTCGGCCTCCGCGTGTCAGCGAGTAATCACACAGAGTATTTGATGAACTACTAAATTACTGACATGAAAGACACTTATATCCAAACTAAAATCGGTCTCTTAAACACTTTTAGACACATTTTGATGTTTTCAGCATGTTTTTTTTCTTTGAAGAATGCACATTTCACAGTTAGTGAGATCTCCTCTGTTTCTAAATAACATCTAACCCTACTTTGGAAATTCTCACCTCCACTTTCTTGTCAGTTATCAGCCGCGTATGCAGGATACCAATGCCTCTGTAATATGTAATAAGTTATCCATCTAGTATCCTTTACAGCTTCCATTTCATAGTAGTTCTTTCTTTGTAAAACAATGTATATTTTGTGAGGGTCAATAATAACAAATAGCCGAACTTCCCCTCAGTTGTTGCATAGAAAAAAAACATATTAATGTTATAAATCCTGCTATTAAATGAAATAAAAATGTTTTAATTCTTCATATTTCTGTTTCATTGATGGTTATGATCATTTGAGTTGTACGTAAATAGATTTGATGTAATTTATGTACTTTTTGATCAAAATCATAATCTCTGTCAATGGAATATCTGCCCACATCCTTCAGGTTACAGATGTGCACAGCTGTGCAGATGACTTAGCTTAGCATGACAACGACCATCTCCTAAATATAGCTCACAACCGGCCTGCTCATGTTCTCGCGTTTCCCCGTTGGGTATTTGTTCCATTCCCAAGGCCATTACTCCTCTACCAACGTGGTCTAAATGGAACCATAGAGGAGATTTCATTGGATCTGAGAAGATGGACCTCCGCCTACCTCCTCCCATTGGTGGATGTAGCGGATGAGCCTGGACAGCCTCAGCAGCCGCAGCAGGCTGAGGATCTTGGTGAAGCGGACGATGCGGAGCGCCCGGGCCGTCTTGTACATCTCCGAGTCGATCCCCCTCTCCACGATGAGGAAGATATAATCCACAGGTATGGAAGAGACAAAGTCCACCACAAACCAGCTCTGCAGGTACTTCCTCTTGATCTTCTTGGGATCCAGGATGATCTCGGTGTTGTCCTCGAACACGATGCCGGTCCGGAAGTTCAGCACCAGGTCCATGAGGAAGAAGGTGTCGGACACCACGTTGAAGATGATCCAGGGGGTGGTTGTCTCCTCCTTGAAGAAGGTGATGCCGACGGGGATGATGATCAGGTTGCCCACCATGAACATCAGCATGGTGAAGTCCCAGTAGAACCTGAGGCCGTGGGAGGGGAGGAGGAGGAGGAGGAGGAGATGGGGGGATGGTTAGAGTTCGAGAGGCAGCCAACCGCGAACACACAGCGTCACTGTGCTTTTCTCGTTTAGGGGCCTGCAGCTTCTCCAGGAGATGTAACCTAAACCATCTGACTGAGGGCAAGGTCAGGCCAAGGAGAAGCAGAGGGACAGGAATACAACAGGAAATACAAGCCGGCTGCAGCTTCTTCCAACTCAAAGGACAACGGACGCCATGAGGAGGATGCATCAGCATTTATCACAGCGACAGGGTTCAAACAACCAACGCTTCATCACTCCACATGTCGCTTAGAGCTTTGAGCAAAGCGTTATCAGAGAAATGCCTTTGAGATTAAACGATTAGTCCATCAAAAGAATTTGAAAAATCCTTGATGATCGATCGATCTTTTAGCTGAATATACTCCAGCATGGATCTCTGTGTTTTATGTATCTTAAACTGAATATGTTTAACCTGCTGGTGAGAGAAAACAACACATTTAGAGCAGTTATTTAGGGTTTTTTTTTTAGATAAGTTAAAACAAATAATAGACCTCAATTTTTTCACAGTATTTCAGATAAGGAAGGCGAGAGCCGCCTGAGAGGGAGGAAGGGACAGAAGAGCTGCTGACTCATAAATGTCCACGCACATAATTCCCAGCAAAGAAAACCTAATTCTGCGTTTTAAGAGATCGCGTGTGAGCATCAGACTGTTTTATCTCCAGAGAATCGGAGGAGCTGTCCCTGGTGCTGAAACAAATGGATCAGCAATCAAACTCTGGACATTTTTACTTTTCCAACTTCCTGCCAAGTTCAGACTTGTTACAATGACGCAGTAACGTGGCTTCTATCTAATCTAATTGTTGACTCGTATTGACAACATTTTTACCCATTAATAATTCATTATCAGCTGAAGAGATGCTGGCATATTGTTATATATTGTATCTTGGCTCTCGCTTAAGTGCTTTAGTAAACTGAATATTCTATACTTATTCATGCATTTCTCATATATCAACATCCATAAAAGCAAACACAGTTCTCATTCTTAAGAGTGTGCACAAGTGGACCTGACTCCATTTGAGCCGTACCTGAAGTCGCTGTATGGATGGATAATCCAATTACCCGCAGACTTTACGCGCTGCTGCTCTTTCTCCACTGCCTTCTGGCTGCCAAACATGCGCAGGGAGAACTTGTTAACTCCGGGCTGAAGCATGGAACTAAACTGCCGCTGCATGTACGTCAGGCTCTCCCGTGGATCTCCATCATCCGGCACTATCTGAGAGCCGTCCTCGGCTTTGGTGAACGTGACCGAATTCCTGGAGTGCGGACTCGGAGTCGGTCCTTTGCCGGTCGGCGCGTTGGAGAAGGACACCCTGGAGTCCTTCTTCTCCAGCGCCGCCGCGCTCCTGACCTCGGCGCCCGGCCCCTGCGCCAGGGACCCCGCTGAAGCGACGGAGCCCTCCATGCGCGCAGCGTGTCCCTCCCCGTCCCCGGCGGCCACTACTCCATCCGCCCGCTTCTCCTGCCTGGAGATGAGAGAGGAGAGGCTCCCTGAGCTGGTCGGGTCCCTTCTACAGTCTCCGTTTTTGTTGCATATCATACCGGTGGCTCCCTCTGCTATCGCGTCCTCTCCTCCTCCAGCAGCAGCAGCAGCAGCAGCAGCAGCAGCACCTCCACCACCTCCGCCCCCCCTCCACACACACACACACACACACACAGACACACGCGCACAACGGTTCACACCCTTGAACCGGGAAGTGTGTGGAGTTTAAAGCAGCAACTGAGCGCGCGCACACGGACACACACACACACACACACACACACACACACACACACACACACACACACACACACCGGGGCGTTGCTATGGCTGCAACCTGGCTGCTTTGCGTGCGTGTATTTCAGTTGGGGTGCAACTACCTCCACTCGTTGCATTCAAGAAAGTGTCAAAAAGAAGCCGACGGCGTCATTATGCAATAAGTGAACCCAGATGTGATACTTGCACAAACTCACCTGGCAGGAGTGACGACACAGGTGAAGGGCGCAAGCAAACCGCCCACTTCTTCCTGCGTCATCCACAGTGGACCGCAGGTGGACCCTCCCAGAGTCAGGTAATCCAGGGAGCATCGGGAGCCTGTTGCTTGGAGGTTCGTGGTCTGTAAATGAGTTCTGAAGTCCTCCATCTTCGGCTAAATGGCGCCACCTTGTGGAGAGAAGCAGCGAGGAGTATAACTTTTTAGATGCAGAGGAAAGGTAAAGTAGAGAAGCCTAAAATATGGCGCCTAGTTCCACAATCAATATTCAATGGATTTATTCAAATTCAAATTATTCATTGTCAAATTATTTGATGCTGACGATTAAAAACTTAAATAAACTTACCATTCTGCTGCAGATCAACACATTGCAAAGGGGCAAACATTTGGTTTTGGTAAACAAGGATAAACCACCTCAGAACGGGATAAAAACATGCTCCTGTTGGCTGGTATAGAAGGTCTCCCAAACGCTTACTGTCGATCACCACTCACACTAAAAATGATTTAAAATAAACATTACCTCACTCTTCCACATCAGTTCGTTTTGACTGAAAATGGCAATAGAAACTGAACGTTTAGTCTGGATTATATCCACATGATAACGGAGGAGGGTGTCGAAGTGTCTTATTAATGTAGTTGGTGGTTGGTAAGGCTCACTGGGGTCTCCCAGGGGGGGGGGGCGACCGTGGTGATCCAGGGAGCCGTCCATAAGAGTCCTTATGTTTCACCATTTTGTTCTGCTGTTGGAGTCACGTCGCCTGTTGCAGCTGAAACGGAGTTGCATCTGATTTGTGGACTTCGTAGGTGCAACAATGTGATATAGTGGTTTATTTTACCCCCCACCCATGTGCCCCCACTGGTCTGAAGCATGGTTTGGGGACATTTCAGTAGAACGTTCGATTTGATGTTCTTGGATCATTTGCTTTGCGTGTAGGCGAACAGCTTAAGAGTCAGAACATCCGTTACTAAAAGTCTAATGTGGAGGTTTGTGTAATAGTTGACATCCGGTTCCAAAATGTAAATACAACTATTATCTTCAGGCAGATCTTTAGGGGTCTTAAAAACACTCTCGAAGACCTTTGAGTGGAGAAGAAGTCGCGTAAGCAATCAAACGTGTAAAATCAAATTCCTTTATTCAGTATGTGCAAGTTGTACAACAGATGGTGCTCCATGTACTGGGATAGTACAACAATGTACACAATTCTGGCTAGGTCTCTTTGTAACATCCAATCACAACACCAAGCAGGTTAAATGGAACATTTGGCTTCTGAATCATCTACACAGGGACGACAATGCAACAATCGCACACAATCAGTTTGTGAGAAAAGAAGCACACCGCATTAAATAGAAACATTAGTGAGTAGTAATTATTTTTATTCAACAGAAGTAACAGACAGCTCTTGCACTTGGTCCAAAACAATAGATTTTTTTTTATTGTGGATGAGACATCAGCAACAAAAACGTTAGTGACTAAAACTTCAATTTAAATAAGTGATGTGAAAAGTTAAAAGCTTCACTTAAGGAAAAATGCTTTTCTACTAAAAATGACCAATTTCTCACGGCAACAAAACATTCCAGATATGAAATATTTCCATTTCTGCATTTCATTTGAAGAGTCAAATTAAGAAACAATAAATGGTGCTCGTTAGTATTCAGGCAAAGTATGAAAACTATGCAAAAGGGAGAATTAGTCATGCTGTAGCAGAAGGTGAAAGGTGCTCTCCTTCGCAGTGAGGAATGAAAACTTCTACTGCGTCACAAGAACAAGTTGTGATTGGAGAACACAAAGCATCGGCATCAACAGAAGATCACCACAAAGAGGCGTTCCTCACGGACGCCTACGACAAGACACTTTCCTATTACGCCATTTTAACTCATGCAATATCTGCCCGGGGCCTCAAGCACAAATGACTTCACACTATGTTCTGAGGCTGCACAATGTGGAGAAGAATGAAATAAAAAAAAAAATACAAATCCAACAGTTTAACACCGAAGCACAAAAAGGTACTTTTAAAAATGGCAGGTTGCACAGTAGAATGTGCCACATAACAGCCGGATGTCCATCTGGAAAAAACGATTAAAAAGTTGCATGAAAGATGAATTATTGCAGTTTCAACAGGTGTCAAAAGTATTCACATTTATTAAGTAGAAGTAAAGATACTACAGTAAAAAGTCATTTTAAACCAAGTATAAAAGTACTGTTTTCAAAGTAGTATAAAAGCAGATAAGGGGAAAGAAAAGCTATTAGACAAACTTTTAATGAGCAACAGAACACGTCAGTCCATCACAATATTATCGGACTGTGCCTTCAGATCATGTGACCTGTCGTAGTTTCACTCACCTCCTTCAGCTTTTAGTTGGAATTCCTTTGCCTCACAGTCTTGTCTTTGTGATTTTCGCTAGAATTGCTTTTCCTGAAAAACACATTGAAAAAATTAGTTCTGTAAAAAGAAAGTCAGAAAATATTGAGCTGCTGATTGTACTTACAGAGGAGCGGCTCCTGAGTCGTCATCTGTCAACGATCAGTAAAAAAAAAAAAGGGCGAAACACAAAAAAGAGTCAGAGTCCATTAGTGGGGTAAGCAAAACGTGCCCCCCCCCCCTTCTGTAACATTGATAGACACACCGGTTAAAAACATACCTCTTCGTCAGAGTGTTTTTTGTAAAATCCACCTGAACCTGGGGTGAAGCCTGCCCCCCCCCCCCCCCCCCCTTCTGACAATGAAAGATCCAACTAACGCCCGCAGAAAAATATCCACGCAGCAATTCCACACACAAGCAGCCAATAAGTAACACGTTACTGAACGCCACTCAGACTGCAGCGCTTTTCGCTATTAGAACAAAGAAGATTTGATCTTGTCTTGAACATTTTGTCCCGTTGTCCAGAGTCGCCCCCCAGCTTCACAGAGGCTCATGCAAGACAAGCATAGGGACACCGCAGTTGCTGCGTTAAGATCAGAAAACCCAAAACGCCTGTGATGTGGCAGAGCGCACGTACAAGCTGGCAGGTAGAGAGGCCGTACTCACACCAGAGCACACAGAGAGGCTCATCTCGGTGGGGGGGCGAATGGTGAGTGAGACGAATGCAGATGTACTGACCTTAAAGAGGGTTGCCTATCGGATGTCATGCACAAACGGTACAAGATGCAGAGGGCATGCAGACAGAATGCAGCGAAACGTCTCACTTTTCAACCCGTTCAAGTTCATGTCAAACCGTCGCACGAGCGGGTGCGTCTCATTCGACTCTTTCATTGGCTCAAACACGTGACTTTAAAAAGGACCAATAGAACGTGGAGGGAGAACTTTTAAAAGGTTCTCCGATTGCAGGGCCAGTGAAAGAGTGACCAGATCTTTGAGCGCATTCCTCTTAGAAGTGGCGACTATGAAAGCAGTTCATTCAGACTCCCATAGCTTTTGTCTCCCCCCCCCGACGCGGTCATCTCAGCGCAACCACTTCAGTCTGACATGCAGTGTTGTCCACTTACCAAAATGCAAAATCAGCAGCGAACAGAGAAGTCAAAATGTAAATAATAAATTAAAAGTTTCTATCAGATTGTTTATACAGAAGTGGGAAGAGAACTCCTGATCTTTATTTTAAAAACGTAAATAGCACAACCAAAAGACTATAAGGGTTCATATTGTGCGCATGCTACTCCAGTCGCCTACAGGTCAGTTTGGATTATTTCCAGGACAAGTTCAGCCAAAATCTGTGAAAGCCAGAAACAGCTGGAGTGTCTTCACTCAGCCAAAGCCTGTTCATGGGGAAAAGAAACAAACTGTTTCTGTAGCCCCACGAACTCTGACAGAGCGATACATTCTGCATCCGGCGGCTCGGTTTAAATCAATATCACACTATCAAGCTACGCGTTCGTCTACATCATTCCGATGATCATGAATAGTGTTAATGCCTCTCTTCATGGTAAAATGTTGCCCAAGTAGCAACACTTTCCTACAGCGCTGCTGGTCCTGATGCCATCAACGCACCACAGAGCAGCCGTTCTCAGTGCGTTTGGTCTGTGAAGTCAGAAGTGAGGTCCGAGGTGGAGATTCACTTTGTCGATACACGTTTAAGGAGAAATAGATTTCAGTTCAGAAGCAGAGAGGCTACTGAAGATCATTCCACAGCAGCCATCAGCCTCTTGCGGGCCTCAGCGCCGTCAAGTGGGCTACGGAGGTACTGACAAAAGGTCAGATGAAATAAGGACACAATGTTTTGGGGTAATTATAATAACCAAGGAGACCATATCAGAGAGACAAATGCGTTCTGCCATCAACTCGCCTGCCCGTCTGTTTTTTTTACTAAACCCTGTAGACTGCGTGGCGCACTTACCGTCGGTGATCTCATCGGGCTTTCTCCTCTTCTCGTAGATGAAGATGATGGTCACCAGGATGATGACCTCGGCCACAATGCCCAGGAAGGGCCAGAGAGCGGCCAGGCGGCTGCGGACGCGCAGCTGGATCTGGTCCCTGTTGGTGCCCAGGTCGTTGGTTCCGGAACAGGCGTAGTAGCCGATGTCGTTTTCAATGCTCAGGTCGTTAATGGTCAGGGTGGTCTTGTTGGGGGTGCTCTTGATCTCGTATTTGTCGCTGGTTCCGTTGAGACTAGACTGCAGGTTTGTTAGTTATTATAAGTGAAGCACATCAAACAAAAGGACATGATTTTAAAATAAACTACAAGCTGACGGGACACCTACCACTAGGGAGCCTTCCCCCACTTTGGCCCAGGTCCACTCGGTGGGCAGTGGGTAGCCGTGGCTCACGCAGACCATCACCCCCTTGTCCTGCTCGTTGCCGTGCTCAGAGTGCTTGTAGGCAGCAACGTGGGGAAGAGCTGCAGCAAGAGGATCAACATATTTATCATTGAACAGTCTTACATTTTAGCAGTGCCTAACGGTCATGGAAACACCGAAAGGGGAATTACCCGGAAATAGAATCTTAAGTATATTTTATATAAAGAACTGATATGAATGAGAACTTACTTTTGACTTCAATTGTCCGCTTTGCCTGTGGCTCGGTCAGGAACACACATTCATACTTCCCCCCGCTAGTGTAGGTGATCTTATCCAAACTAGGGAAAGAAACAGGACCATGTGAGAATTCCTTTCCTCTGCAGACGTAGCAAGTGGTGACTGGTGAGCAATTCTACCGAAGAAACTGCAGACACAGCGATTCCTTTTCCACTTCGCCCAAGTACAAAAGTCACAAAAGAACCCGGTTTATGTTCAAGAGGCAAAACGAAAACCACTTTTCCATGCAACAAATTTTCCCCGTGGTGATCACAATCACACGTTTGTTTGCTGCCCGCTCTGCCTAATGGGGAATTAAGGTCAGGGTAAGTGAGCGCGCTGCTAGGGGCGGCTATCCCTGCTGCCAAGGCGACCGGCAAAGCTGCACAAAATGCACGGTCCGATCTCTCTGCTAATGAAGGGAAAGCCTGAGCGGCGCTCCCAGCTTTGCTGCTAATGGGGAGGCAGCCAGCGAGAAGAGAGACGCCCGACGGGCAAGAATGCAAAGAGCGAGGGCGAGCTGGGTGTTGGGAAAGGGACACTATAAGAATCAAGGCCAATGTAGCCCACATTAAGGCCGACAAATGGTTGGTTGGGGGACCTCTTACCGGAGGGCGGTGTGTGGAACGGCAGCCTCTGACTTGGAATCTTCGATGACTTTGCCGTTGTGCGTCCAGTGGGAGCCCGAGATGGGAAGGGTGGCGTCCGTCAAGTTGCAGTGGAGGACTGCGGAGGTCTGGTTGCTGACCTCAGAAGGTTCAGTCAGGATTGTCGGGCCTTTCGATGAACAGAAGGGAAAATAAATTATTTAACATTCTTTCATGAATGCTGCCATACAAAAGGAACTAGATATTTTCTGTTAAAATTTCCGACTATTACAAACCTGTCAGAAATAATTATCAGGGCGGATTTGTAGTTACAGCACTGCCTTAGGCAGCAGGGCCGAATGGTCATTAATTAATAACCATGTACTATTGCCATGGATCACCGGATGTGTTTTTTTTTTTACATTTACATTATAGCTGTATAACTTATAACACTCAAGTGTAGTCTTTACAGAAGAGGACTAGAGCAACTTTATTATTTTCCCAACGAGAGTATGAATAAAGTTGTACAACAGCATTTACAAATTTAGATTGGGATGTTGTTTACTTGAGTGTTAAGTAGTCAGTGGAAAACAAAGCAGAATTAGGAACCACGTCCTTTGCATTAGCTTCTTGCCAAGTTTGACACTGAGACAAATCCGATCCAGCAGAGTTGAATCAGGGCCAACTCATAACAAGTACGCTCTAAACTGGATCACTCATTTGACAAAAAGGTGGACAAAGCTCCACAAAATGGGGAGATCTGTCCGACCAACAGTAGAATAGGGGTGGTTGGGGTGGGGAGGGGGCAGGAGATGCAACAAAGGTCTAGCAGATACAGTCTACAACAAGGTGATGGGGAAAAGACCTTAAAGAGACGAGACAAGCAAGAAGCAACAAGAGCAAAATGAAATATCGTTGGCAGTCATTATAACATTTATATGTATAATTGACTTTTTATAACTTACTATATCTGCTTTACCATGGTGGAGAAACTGAACAATTTTTTGAAAGCAACAAACTAATACTGGACCACAAGGCAGAAAGATGCCGCATGGCTGAGACTGCATCTTTAATAATACGTTGCCATCTTGTGCCTACAGTGTAGTTGGTGATGAGCCACCGTCTACAAGCATAAACAAGGGGAATGCCGATGTTAGTATCAATTAAGGAGCGCTACGGAAACCTGCCAAGACGCTTCACTAATCAAGAAATTGGACACCCCTTTTGTTCAAACAGATTTTCTATCAAGGATCAGGATGGTAAGAAGCAGACGACCTTTCTTCCATTCTCCTTGAAACTTGGAAACTGGGAAAAACACTGCGACCAGGGTGTGCGTTTATACAAGTGTTTTTCCTCAGATGCCATTTGCCAATTTTCCGTCCTTATGCCCAGTATTATATGCAAGAAAACTCAGTTGTACCGTCACCGTAAAGATTGAAGACACATAATGTGACCGGTAACACCAGATTAGGGAGTGCCACGCTTTCTGACCAGGTTCAGATTCTACTACAGGACAACCTTGGAGCTGGAGAAGAGAGGAGGGGGAGAGCGTATACCGGGCGAGGAAGGGGGGGGTATCGGACCGGGAGACACGGGGGCCGAGTGTCCAGGACTTCACTACTGAGGCAATACGGGACCGGCTACGTTGACCGCGGCTCCCCGTGCCTTCGCTGCCACTCACTTTCAATCACAATAACGTTTGCCTGCGAGCGGATCCACTTGATTTTTGGCGCCTTCTTCAGTTCGTTGCGGTCGGGGTCATTAGAAGCGCGGCACTCGTACGTGCCGGAGTCGTTGAGGCCGAGGCGAGTGAGGCGCACGGCGCTCGTGGCGTGCGCTGCGTATGTGGCATTTATTTGCACGCGGTCGTCCCGCGCCCCGCCGAAGAGCTGCGTGAAGGTCTCGTCGGGCTCGTCGCCCTCGATGAACCACCACTGCACCTCGGGGACGGGGTTCCCTATCACCTCACAGTGCAGCTCTGCGCTGTCACCAATCAGCTTCATCTGAGACATGGGGGACTGGATGAAGCCCGCTGAGCACCGGTTAGAGCGCCCAGCGAATAGGATTTGGGTTTCGTTACGGTGGTGAGTTTTAAAGCAAGCCAGTTGATTTCATGGATTGGTAATAAAAGGCGGCGATGGAAGAAAAGGCAAGCAAACAAGAGAAAAGAAAGAAAGTTAAACACAAATGAAATGGGAAAAAACGTGAAAGCATGCACATAGAAACAGATCAGCCTATTTAGCAAATTATTTGGGAAAATGTTTCATCTGTCGTGGTACTGACTCATCAAAATGAAAAGACATTAGCAAAAACCGCTGCAATATTGTGCATGTTATTGGGGGACTTTTACCAGATTAAATTTGTACATGTGAGTGCTTGTTTGATTGATAGCCTTTAAATGCAATAATTGAATAAGAAAAGTTGTGACTGGGCGTCAAGAGATCCCTAAAAGGCAGAAAGAAAAAACATTCAAAGCATCCAATAGCATCTGTGAAATCAAAACAATAAAGAGAAAATGGAGAAAAGATATGGATGGAATGAAAAAACAGCTCATATAATAAAATAAAGTTCAAAGGAAAAGCTTACGACACGCATGCACGATAATGACTCCTGTTAGATACATGCATACTTCGACAAAATCCATAGCAGGGGCACTCGTTTGGCCACTCACACTTTTAAAATGTATTTAATTAAGATGCAATGAACCTCCAACAGCTGATATTATTAGAGGACAAACCAAGGAGACTTGTGACACTAAATGTATCATGTGACCTTTCCAGCTTAGTGACCACCACCTCGATCAAAAGGTCACCGTCATAGAATATGCTGAAGGAAAGTTCAAAAATAAATATGTTCTAGGCCCAACTGAATAGAAGTAAACATGATGGTGCAAGTCACTGGATTCAGCCCTCTGCTCTGTAACATGAGAACCAGATACACATGTGAAGCTGCATTGTTGACATGTGAGGTTTAAATACGCTCAACAAACCTGCTAGATGCCCAAACAGAGAACAAAAGGTCTGGAAATCTATATTTTCAAATAAGTTTTTGCATTTAATGTGATAGAAAATATGATCACATAAAAACCGGGCAAATAAGCCCACACGATGGGGCTACGTGCTTTATCTTCAGTGTGTGTTTTCATTCAAATATCTAGATGAAAATGATAGCCGTTGCTTCACCTTTCGAAAAGACTAAATGTAATCCTCGGGCCACTTTCAACACTCGAGTAACAAAGTGTACTGACAAGCTAACCCCGAAGAGGAAAAGCTACGAGAATTTAACATCCTTTCCAACAGAAGAGGGATGTTGTTGGTTTCAACACTGACAGCTGTGACGCATTGAAACACTGTGTAAAGAGCCCATTTCAATTCAGCATTGTTTCATTGGGTCACGGTTTGGAAATGAGCAACTTCTGAGGGGGGGGGGACGGACGTCACTCTCAGCCCAAGAAGGTAGTCGACTGACACACACCGTCCCGAAAAAACAACCCATTAGTTTAACTGTGTGCAATAAAAAGGATCATTTCAGTGAGAGCCGGTTAACGGGGGAACTCAAAATGGTGGCCAACAACAAAAATGAATCCATATTAACCAAAGTTCTTGGGCTAAAAGCTCAGAATATGTGCTCTAAGTAGCATTACCCGTCTGCCCCGTAACCCCCTTCTCATGCTAAAAGGTCAGCTTGAGAAGAATGTGGCACTCTTGGGAAATCTAATTGTACTTCTACTCAAAGGCTTTTTGGTTATTAAACCAGCAAACATTCCAACTCCCTGTGATAAATATCTATTAACCATCTGGTTGCTGCTACCACATTTCTGCAACATCAACGTTGCCTGGTTTTATAAAGACGTTTGTGTCACGACAACAGAGACACTTTAACTGAATCGCTCCCCTTCGAATAAACGTTGTTTTATGTGTCGACGATCACATGTAAAGAATAGCTAGCTCATTTGGACAGGGAAAGAGATGAGCAGTCGTATTCCCGTGGAACGCGTGTGACATTTGACGTCGTGCGGCCGTTTGTGATCACTGTAACCAAAAGCAGCGCCATCACTCCGACGCCATTCGCAGTGGAAAACCATCTCGAACAGACGGACGGCGTATTGTGGCAACTGATGCTCGTCACGTGGTCCGCCAGCACCCCGAGGGAAAAGAGAAATGGTGACTCCCCTCAGTCGCCCCCTTTACCCACAACGAGCCACCGGCTGTGACAATTCTAACGCCGCAAAGCTCAATGCGGCGGTAAACGTTGCTCGCTCGCGACGGCGTCCCGTTAGAACGTTACGCAACTAATTACGAGGTCGGTGGAGAGACTGCGGACCGAGCCGCCATGTTTCCAATGGACGTTACTCATCATGTGACCAACTACATTAGCTGGCAAATATCTAACCTTATGTAACTTGGCTTTGTTGAAAAGCCAATTGAATTGTTGTTGTTGGGGAGGGGGGGGGGGGGTTAACGTTCTGTTAACCAAAACGGACGGTTAGTCGTCCGAAAGGAAAATGAGCTAACACGGCTAATGCGCTAATGCGTCACTCTCCTTTTTTTAACTGACGCTACGGATACTTTTTTTTTGAAGAAAAAACAGCCGCTACAAAAAGACGTTAGAGATACAACAGCACAACTGTCGTAACGTTAACGACGAGCGAATCCGCGCGAACACGTTAAATGTTCCGTGTACGGGTCAAAGTCTTCAACCAACATGGCTGACGTTACGATTCTTACCTGTGGACGCGTCGACTCGCAAACAGCCCAGCAGCAGGGCGCTGACAGCCCACAGCAGCTTCATGGCGGCGGACTCGGTGTTTACTGAAGCGTCGAACGAACGCGACGTTAGCTGAGACGAGACGAACCTTCTTCCTCCTTTCCGCTGAACTCCTTCCAGCGAGATGTCGTGAGCGGAGGCGATCGTCCTTTGGTGTCCCCTCACGTACACGCCCTGGACGTCACGTGGGAATGACGCGCCGTTGAGGGGCGTGGTGGCCAAGTCACGTGACCTGCATTATAGCTCGCGCAGGGCCATTTCAACGCAACATATGCGAAAGAAAATTAGCAAAATACAGGCGTAGTATTTTAAATTAAAATGTATTATTTCATGTCCGCCATCGACAAGAAGTGCCTGAAGTCTCCCAGTTGTTGGTGTATGTCAGAGCGAAATTTGAAAGGAAATGTCAGTGATATGTAGAGATTACTATTTATTATTATTATGAGGTTCCATTTTGCCGGACAAATGTTAAATGATCCCGTAGTCTGGATTTTGTCTGAAAAAGAACTTTCCTAATCTTAATCAGAAATGAACCGTTGTGGAAATGAAATTACACCTGGTACACACACACACACACGAGAGTATAAACTCTGTTTGAGAGTGATCACTGATAAATGTCAATTTAAATATCAGGAATGGCAATACGAAGAATCCTTGAAGATAGTTGCAATGGAGACTTGTAGAGGGAATTTGAATTATTCCTGATGAGTCCATCTCTGGTCAGACTACAGTAAAAATAATTAAATCAATTAATTGAATTCTACCCCAAAACACTTCACATACAATTGAACAACCCTTAGTAAGTATGGGTTCACAACATCTAAATATATTTTAAATCGGTTTGCAACTCTTAAACAAAAACATTGTTTTCTACACCTTGGATCTGTAGTTACTGAATGTTAGAAAAGCTTGCCATTTCCGAAGGCACATAGGTAATTCCCACAAATACTTGCACAAAGGAAGCAATAAACAAAATGAATCAACTTCACATTGTAAAATAAAACTCATAACGATAAGTCAAGTGTGCCGACTTGTCCTCTGCGGGACCAAAGTTGTAGTTCATAACAATCCCCTCAGAGTAAAAGGCCTTTGAAACTGAACCCCGGAGGAGGAGACAGGTACAATGTAGAGGAAATATGCCTGAACAATGGGAGGAAACCTCATTTATTTGTTTATTGACAACGTGCATTAGGAAAGTGCCCCAGTGGAAGATTTATAGACCCTGTAAACTACTTACGTGTCTTTGGACAAAAGTCTTACTTTGAAATCTTAAAACCGTATTATGCATTGAAATCACTTCCAGCTGAGCTCATAGAGGACGTTATTGTTCTCTGGAACACAAACCGGCACAGATCCTGTTTGGACTGTTTCCCAAAGATGAAAAACTAACGATTAGAGGGAGAGAAAGCGAGAGAATGCTTAACAGACAGTTTGAGTGGTGGCACCCAAAAACAACTTTATTTTCATTTCACACAATCATACTGCAAATCAATAGTCAACTGGCAACTTCAGAAAATATCCAATTTAACATATTAAAATCCCCCGAAATGCTCTGACAAGTTTCAGGCTTATAGAGAAAATTAAAAAAAAATCCATGTGAGTGTAATTTAGAGATGATATCCATGTTGTTATCCAAACAGCATCGACTTACTGCAACTTCAAGTGCAAACATTTGTACCTGTGACCTAACAGGTAATCCGGAGGTTAATCGTACAAACTATTTGGGATTTTGTTTTGGAAAAAAAAAAATCAAATGTAGCATAATTCTAAACCAAGAAGAAACTTTGCACGCTTTTAACGGTGCACTTGTGGTAATTTCATCTGTGAGTTATGAATACTACTTATACAAAGGAATAGGGATAAAATTGGCTTTGCATCATTAGCAATAGTGGGTCATTTAATATTTCACACAGTCTGGGGATTTAAAAAAAAAAAAAAGGAACAGCGACTGTCGTCCCGAGTCGTCTACCTTTGGATGCTTTCGCTCTCTCTTCCTGTGTGAGGTGATTTAGGCGGATCGAGCCTCTTCAAGTTCCCATGCTCCTCCTTACCCTTCCCGACAGGGGCCGCCGCCCTCCCTTTGTTCGGATCCCTGACGAAGATGGGAGCAACGGGAAGGGCAGAACTACATGGCCCTCGCGTATCGCTTGCCTCTCCCCCCGGCCCCCCCCGCCCCCACCAAACCCCTCGAATCAGACCTGAGCGATCCTGGCGCGATGCACTCGGGTCTCTGCCCCCACAGCAGGGAGAGACGGGAGGTCACCGCTCCGAAGAACAGCGGCCGAGGAGCCGCGAGCAGCTCGCAGCGCCTCTACGAGTTATCCGTGGAGTTCTCGTTGCTGGCCGAACTCGAGGACTGAGGGGTCGAGGAAGAGGAGGAGGCCGAGGAAGAGGAAGAGGAGGTAAAGTTCATCCCTGATAGCTCCGGAGGGTTCGTTGCAGTGTTCTGTCCACACAAGCTTTTCCTGCACACTGGACAAGTGTCATGCTGGGGAGAGACAGGAGTGGGGGAAAAAGTAGGCAGATGTTTAATAAGGGTCAATTTGTTTTTCACCTGCAGCCTGTGCTCCATTGTTGTGTCTATTTTTTAAACATTTAATACAATTCTAAATGTTGGTCCAGTATGAAGGGAGAAGGCGCAAAACGATAGAAACATCCCTGATGTCATTTAAATTGCCGCTCTTTAAGTAGCAGCAGCTCATTAATCAATGACTAATGAAATCACCAATAGCAAGGGTCAAGGGTCATTGCTAATGCTCCCCCATTACGCAGTTTCAGAAAGTAGTGAATATAAGATGCTCGGTACCTGTTCTAGCCACGGCACGATGCAATCATTGTGGAACATGTGATTGCACGGGAGCTGCCTCACATTTTCTCCGACGCTGTAATCTTCTTTACACACCGGGCATTCCAGTCCCGACGCTGAAACGACAGAGCGTGATGTGAGAAATACTCCCGAGTCCCATCCGTCTATCCGGTTTTGGACGAGACGGTTACAATCAGTTACATTATAGCATCATGTTAGTAATCTCCACAGTCAAGTGTTTTCAGAAGGACGGCTGGACGCTGTGCTATAAGCTAAGCGTCTGATTGGCCTTTAGCTATGCAGCGGCAGGTCTTTACAACCTGCTGTGACTACAGATGTGTCATGTGGTTGATGATGACATAAGTGCAACGTTTGAGCGATCTGTGCCACCAAATAATATTTTAATATGGAATTATGCATTTGAGCCTCCTCAGTCCCCCTGTGAGAAGCTTCCAATGAAACATCTTATAAGGCTTGAAAGCTAAATTAATAACTATTTGTATTGCACTTTATCATGTTTTAACTTACCAACATGCTCTTCTGTAATTTGTACTGTAGGCAGAGTTTTTATTTTATCCCTGTCGGCTGGCGGAGGTCCCGTGTTCTCAAACTGGTTTAATAACTAAATACAGAGAGAAAAAACAGGATAGAAAGCAATTTCAAGTTAGTGTATATTTTCTTCCACCACGTTTTAAAATGTTCTATTTATGTATTTTTTGAATGAGCACAGCAAACACTTTAAAAACATTTAGAGGTTACTGAAAAAATACCTGAGTAATGATTGCATCTAGTCCATTAGCCCCCCAGGCATAATCCATAGGATTTGAGTGAAGAACACCCCTTTAAGAACACCAAAAGTCAAAAATCAGAGCAGATAGAATGAAGATTCATTTTCTCGTTAAATAGAAGTATGTTCCAGACACTCACCAGGGTCCAACACCAATATTTGGCATTGCGGTCGGCGCAATTATTCCATTCACGAGCTGCTGAATGATTCTATGAACGAGAAGACAGCTGTGATGCAGATGAATTGACAGAGAAAAGAGTGAAAGACGCGCACCGCTGTTAAAGGGGAACCAGTAGCTTTTAAACCTGGAAAATTTACTGCGATGGTGTTGTGCCCAAGTAACAAATGGAAACAACGGTTTTAGTTTTAATTGGTGCAGTTTTCAGTGAGAACGCAACAACGGCTACAATGTAATAACTGGAAACTCCTCACCGCCAGAACACATCCGCAAAAAGTGCCCTGAAAGTTATAATAAGTGAATGAAAGTGGATGGAAACGACCATGCAGCTGAATATGAAGCCGCCCCCCACAATGTTGATGTGAGGCGGGATTTCACAGAGACTTCTACGTTGTGTTTCTGCATGAGATCCTTTCCACGACGCTTTCTTATTGTCACAACATGAACATCTCAGTACCAAAAGTTACCCTACAGCCCGTTTACCATCTGCTGTCCACAGCCTTCTGTTTATTACATCAATTCAACATATTGTTGTACTTATTTGTCTCGTACACACAAAAAATACAGGATTTACAAATAGCCTTTAACGAACTAATTGAGTCACAGTTGGCACTACTTACCCCTCCAGCGTGGGAACTCCCTCGGGCCTCCCTGCCTGTCGCCTCGAGCCGTGGCGACTCCTCGGTTGCCTGGCACCATATCGTTGCCGCGACGCCGTTTCCCTTTCTCGCCTGTTTTCGGCATCTCTGTTATCCTCCGGTCCAAGTCCGGCCCCGAAGTCGAAGCGGTCGTCGAAGACGCCCAGAGCAAACTGGCCGTAACCAGACGGGAATGTAAACATGTGCTGGTCTGGATTCTGGGAGAAAAAAAACAACGAAAGAAGACGATAAAAAGCGCTGCGAGTATTCTGCATAGTGTTTATTGTCAAAACAACACACGCGGAGCAGCATTTGGTTGGTGTTTCAACCCGATGGAAGCGCTTGCTGGCATACAGAATCTCCTTGTTTACTGAGACAACAGCAGCATCACAGCTCCAATACCTTTCACTGAAATGTTGTGCCACAGTACAAGCTACATATCGGGGTAAGAATGTAAAAAACACCCAAACACTGAACTAAATATTACTATAAAATGTGTTCTGTAGAAATCTAGAGTTGACTTCCATCACGTGTGGTAAGAGATCAGTAAGAATTGGAATCTATTTTAGTGAATTGGGAAGACATAGTGGGGCAGACACAGAGGTTGTGTGTGATAAGAGATTAGAGAAAAGAATCGGTTAGAAACCTCAAATGGTTGCTGGTTCTGGGGCCCGCTGGAGATGGTAGACGTGGCGCCATTGTCGGCGCTAAACAGAGGACAAGTAGTTGACAAAGTTATGTCTCCGCTCAGTGACGCTAAAGAACGTTTTTCCCACCATGCATCAAAGTGTCCATCCTCCACAAACATGAAATGAAAAGATGGCTGTCCTATTACTTCCCGTTATCCTGTCCCTTCACCACGAATATGATCCCAATGCAACACCGTGAAATATTGTGATAACAGTTACAAAAAAGGACAGAGACAGTGATAATAATTATAACAATAACTAAAGCTGCCCAGGAAAAAGCATGCAACACCTGCCATTTTACTAGAGCTGTGCCCATAGTTCATTTCCCAATGGCATCTATTAGCACAAGTAAAAAAAGGTATCATAACAACCCAAAATGCTTTTAACAAGCATTTATACCAAATGCTCAGACTCAAAATCAGCCTCATTGACCGAGTGTGTAAGGACTGAGACTCAGGTCGGGGTATGTTGGTGAGTAACAGCTGTTAGAAATGATGGGCGAACATACAAAGACAAGGAACATTATTTCTGGAATTCTCCTTATAACTAATATCTGGACTAAAACAGTCATTTTTCTTTTCATTATTACAAACCTCCTCTCCTCCAGTAGCTCCTCGATAAAGCCGGAGTCACATCTCGGACACGTATACTCCTGTGAACGGACATAAAGCAAAGTAAAACCATCATAACACGCTCAACCGTGTACTTATAAACAGATGCATCACTAAATACTTAAAACCGGCGCCTGGAGGAAACAAAAGGAGTCGATTGCATGACAGATACGGCCCTTTAGTGTGTAAGCGTGCAGCGAGTGTAAACAGCAAATAAACAAAAGGCACAGCCAGAGATGAAGAGGACACATGGTGATAATTGCTCTCGTATGAACCTCCTCGAGCTAAGAAAATCAGGGCCTCACGAGAGGTTACCAGATGGTATGAATGGAATCTCTCATGTCACCTTCAAGCCTCACGATGTTTTAATGAGGATGCTATTTCTTCAAATGATCTGCCCATGTGAGGGGGGGATCCGGAATGTTTAACCATCACAGTAAACATTTACTTATTTCTTGGCAGGAGGTCGGTGATGACTTCCAGCCCCTTCCTCACCACCTTCTATCAGGACAGCTGTCGAAAGAGACCTGAACAGCTGTCAAAAGTTATCCCAAAGCCAAACATGGAGCCCGACGTTACAGGAACGAGGCCCACCTTGTTGCCCCAGGCTATCAGACTCACACCGGACGTGTAAACAGAGAGGTTCCACACACCGTCGGTACACCTTCTCTGTGGGTACGCGGATGTTTTAGGTCCCTGTGTTTCTTTTGTGTTTAGATTATTTCAAACCCTGATCCTGGCGGAAACAATGTGTCGATCCGCGGTATTTTCTATGGTTTTTACACCAACAAAAGTGGCTGATCTTTTGACATTGTAGCACAATCTGCGGCTCTGTGACAGATCATTCCAGCCTGTGACTGACCGGCGTGCCACTTGTGTGCTTTATTCAACGCCTAAACAAAAAAAAGAAAAGGACGTAGGGGCATTGTTGCTGCTGGATGGTTCACTTACAGGATTTACAACCTAAAAGTCCCACTTGTGTTGCCAGCGTTTCTCCAATAAAATAAATGCCATAAAGAGGACGCGATCAGTGTATAAGTTGACAGTTACCGTTGGTGAATTTAAGCTAGCTAACGTTAAATGTAAGGCCAACATGCAAAAAACACAAATAAACAAACGATCAAGCCAACGTTATTGTAAACATCCAGTGACTAAATATCAGTGGTCCGAGTGTTACGACTACGCAGTTCGTAAATGTGCGCTGATGGATCCACTACTTAAGATAACAAGCTAACGTTAGCTCCCACTGATTAGCGCTAGCGAGATGAACGGCACCTCGCAGAAGCTAGCTGACGCCGTTAGCATGCTCCCTGTTTGCACCGCCGCTACGCCGACTTATACCGAAACAACGACCACGCCAGCGGCTTTTTCATTCGCCCCGGCGTCTCCATCTTTACATTCCGTCCGCGGTACTCACGGGAAGCCGAGGGCTGATCTCCGCGGAGCATCTGTGACAGAAGAACCGGCTGGGCCATGGAGGAGCTTCCGCCATCTTTAACACCTAACAGGTAGCGAGGAGGAAGGACTACGGAGCCCCGGAAAGGTCAAAAACCTCAGAGAAAATACGAGGCGCGCGTGAGCGGAGAACGTACTACTGAGAAAGTAAGAAATAACTCGAAGATGCACCACGTGGATAAAGAAAATGAGGGGAAAATTAAAAATATAAGTTATTGTATGGATCATAATTTAGGTATTATAGAATAACGGACAGAATAATGTGAAATATCCCAATTAAAACCAAATAATGTTATACAATTTGTGTAAATACAAACATTAATATTTTTAGCGTGAAAAGTTGAATAATGAATGAATGAATTCATACGCATTTGATACTAAATAACAATTATATGTGTTACCGAACGCCGCCACAAGATGGTGCTTTTGGCACCAGATGTTGAAGAGAGTCAGCGTGCAGTTCACAATATAGTCAAGACCGAGGAAACAATGCACTCTCGGTATTTTTCCTTTAAATCTCATGATTTATAGTTTGGTGAGGTGTCCTCAATTTGTATGAATGTCAAAGCTCCCCTGACAAAGTCTGTATTTGGTATCACCGCACCGAGCTGGTGTTTCATCCCCCCGGCTCTCCCTGTTCACACATAAAACTGAGATGTGCTTTTGCAATCTGGCACCGCATCAAATAGAGTTTTTACGCGTTTTACTTTTCCATTGGATTCCTGTCAAGCACCTCTTGGGCCTAACAGACATACTCTGAGTGTCTAAAAGTAGCATCTGTTTTTGAGTCACCCATCTCGCCAAAGGTGGATTTGTGAGGTGGGTTTTTGTTTTTTGTTTTTTTTGGACACATTTTTCCAAGTGTCAAATCGGAGACATAACAAAGTAAATATATAGCCACTCACATGGAAAATACATTGTCTTGTTTTGGTTTTAACAAAGCCAAGTTCTTTCTGGCGGCCCAGAGATAGCTGTGAAGGACTCAGAGAGCAGTGAGTTTCTTAAGAGCTGGAGGCGTTCGTGATGGATTTTATGTTCTTCTCAGGTCGACTTTCGTTGGCGGGGTTGTAGATTAAATCATTCCCTGTATTTATTTCTTTCACAGGTATCCTTAATGTGATTACCCGGACTGCAGATCTACGGCTATAAACATGTCACACAAGTCCGGCGTGTCTGTGGTGCTTGGCAACACATGTTGAGAGCAAGTAGGAGTTCTCATGCAACCTCCCATCAGCCAATCACATCCCTCAAGCCGTCTCGCCTGATTTCTATTCACAAATGTCCAATTTATGCTCCTTAGGAGAGCAGCCCAGAATGCGGGCGGCTCGCGATGGCGTTGATTATTATGCCAAATGATCTTGTTTTCCACATGTTCTAATGAAATAACCGCGAAACAACAGCGGACTCACGGTGACCCAAACGTTTTATTTGCGAGCTCGGCACGCATGACACAGATAAATGACATTTACAATGTTACTAGGTCCTAACGACCTAATGAGGCCGGCGGTGTTGTCTGATCTGGCCTTGTGGGAGCAGGAAAGGAAGCAGTGTCCCACGGGGCTGAGATTAGAGAGGGTCTGATAGCACGCGGGTCTGCTATGTCTGCCTGGCTGAGGTAAGCTATTGTTTCTCTCTCTCTCACGCCGGATGCGTCACCCGGTCAAATGTTCGCGTAGCGACTCTGGAGACCGAGCGACCTTCCACATCACAGACTTTTAAGGTCACTACCAATCTGAATTGTAAACACTTGTGCATGTGCGTGCAGACTTTGCTGGTGTTTTTTCTCTGCCCACATTCTACCTTTTAGAGGCGGTGGTGGAGTTTTGCAGCGGAGGCAGCAGATCGACACGTCGCAAGGGACACTGCTGCTCTTGCCACTCCACGGAGTTTTTCCAGACACTCACAGCCTGGGATTGCCCCACAAAGTCCCTCCGGGACCCCCCCAACCCCCCCGTACAGACAGACAGACACCCACGCACTCAGCAGGCCGCCTGCTGGAACTTCCTGGGCCCCTCAGTCATGCGTCACTTGTTTTCAGTCCCACCCATCGAAGAGTCCCTCTCCCTCCAGACACGCTGTGTGTATCGCACACACGCACACACGCACACACACACACACACCATAGGATCTCGCTTAAAAGTCAACATTGGTGATGAACAAAGCTGCCGGTACTTAAATGTTTGGGATGACATCCCTGGGCAGCTAACCAAACATAGATGCTGCCTGAGGAAACACATGTTTACAATCAGCAGCTTCGGTTCAGCCTCCTCGTGGTAGTGAAGTGTTTGTGGTCGCTCACTGTACATATTTCAGCATATTCATCTTCTTTTATTCACCCACTGTTCGAATAGTATTACGTCTGTCCCAATTATGGACGCCGCAATCACTTGGTTATTAGGAAATGTTTGGGTGCTAACACAATAAACTAAGAGTGAAGTAAGCCAAATGGCAAAGGGCATCACAAAGGGAACTATTTACAATGTTCGGGTGGCCAAGTTTGAACAGGTCATCAGAAATGTCCTTTTAAAAACAGCTACAAGACTAGCATTGCGAGTACGTCTCACTAGCCAGCACTCAGCAGGGTGCAGTCCAAGAAAGCACAAGGACATTGAGCACAGAAGATAGTACGATGGAAACACAGAGTGCTATCGGTCCCACTCAGACTGCATGGCAACACCAGACCGCAAACCCCCTCCGGAGAAAAGAGAAAAAATCCCCCCCCCCCCAAAAAAGAAAGCCTGAAACATTTCTTGATGAAATTCCGTGGTAGGAAGTAAGTGAGAAAGGAGGATATAAAAAAAAACAACCACTGCGAGTTGTGTGCATGAGAAGAATTAAAGGGATTATTCTCTGCTGGAATGTGAGGAGCGTTTTCTTTGCCAGGTATTTTGTGTATGTTTCAATGTGCGTCCGTGTGTCTGTGTGAAAGAGGTAGTTTCCAGAGTGTGTTGTTTTGGATACCGTTTTTTTTGGACCAACGGAAAAAAAACAACCAACTTTCCATTATTAAACAACAAGCGTGTCTCTGGGCCGAGGCTTGTATCAAATAAAAAAAAGGTATTTCTGTCAGAGCCGCCTGAGAACGCTGGTGTGAAATGAAAGTAAGTGCAGTGCAATTATCAAACTTTATTGACGATTGTTTTCCAGTTCTGTGGCCTTGTCATTGCCAAGGCGGAGGAGGCAACATCCTCATAGTGTCCACCTTGATATTTACATTCAAAAGCCCCTGCGGAACTCTCTGCTACATTGCCAGTAGCCTCCCCTCCTGCCAGGACACGTGAGCCGGACCGCACACCGAGCCGGATGAGTCCCAGAGGTCACCGCGAGGAAGCCAGACAATTAACCCGGGATAAATGGGGACAATTAGCATTTGCACAACTTCCTAAGCGGGCTGATTTGTTGTTGGTGTTCTGATCCGGACCAGATCAGCGACACACGCTGCTCATTTCCCCCCGACCTGTGTGGACTTTTAGATATCGCTGGGGGATCGTAGCCTGTGACCCGAAACCTTTAGTCCTGAGTTTTAACAGCAGCTTCCTTTGACTTACGTTTTCCATCTTTCGGTGTATTAAACCAATGAACTAATGGTTGTGACATTAGCCTCCTGATACCAGATAGAGGAGGGAGGAATGTATGCGTTTACTCCTTTTAACCTTCGCTAAAGTGTTATATATGCATGTGGGATTATTAAAAAGTGAAGTAAAAGCAGCATAAGCTGTAAACCGCAGGAATGGGCTGTTGTGTCAGAGTAAAAATCAGCCCTCGGGCGTTTAATTCGATGCACATGTGGAATATCGAACGACTCGCACGGCGAGTCTGGCAAGTCGTGTCTGCGGCAGGCGGATTGTGATGGAGTGATGGATGGGACACCTATTAGTTTCAGCTGCGGCGCTGCGCTGTTTACAACCCGGTGGCGCGACCCAGAGAGTGGGTGGTCTCCGAAAAAAAAAAACCCTCCATCGCAGCCCATCCATTCAGACCCCAACGCCGGGGCTGCTAACTTACTGGAAGTGGGTTACGGCAACTTGGCGGAAGTGATACCATGTGGAGGTCGTTGGAGCCTCGGAAAAAAACCGGGAGGATTACGCATCCCTGAAACGTCCCCGTGGGCGTCACCCTCCACTGTTTGTACGGATATAAACAACTGAGCCAGATGCGACTCGCCTGATGTAATGCGTGTGACTGATCGCTCGCTCACGGGGAAATGCACACATAATCGCACACTCAAACACGCGCACGCACAAAGAAGCGGGAGCGAGGCCGACCCCTCGGCGGTCGCACCACAAGTCCCGACACGTACGGGGGCGGAACGAAACGTGTCGGTTAAAGCGGGCAGAGGATTCCTGTGGTCCCACGTCAGGTGTAATTATGACACTTGTGAAGTGGCTCATACCTTTACTCCGTGATTATGTCATTACCCCCGCATGGGAGTGTGTGTGTGTGTGTGTGTGTGCGTGTGTGGCACAGCAACCTGGCCTCCAGTCCGACTGCGAGGTGGCTACCGCGACCGCGGCCATTTGAAAACACAAAAGTGGGGCAAATGCTTGATTCTATAGCGAGCGGCCATTGCGGGGCGACCCCTTTTTAAGCTGAAGCGGGTGGGGAGGGTTGATCGTGTGGATGGGCCGACATGGTCCACGTCCTTTTTTAAAGAAGGTGGTGTGGATTAGCACGTTAAAAGTTTAGATCCGGAACAGATGTATGTATTGTTGGGAAAAACAAAACCGTCCCGAGAGGACTCTTTGGGCCCGTCTCCACGCTGAGGTCACGTCTGCGGGCCGGATGTCTGATTTATATTTGGTGAACACGTATGAGGGGATCTTTGAGTCCATCAATCATCCGTGACGTTAACACATAACATGCGGTAAACAATGAAAAACAAGTTCCTAACGCTGTGTTTGTTTTATGCACGGGCGCAGCAACAGCCCCTCGGTGGCACCCATTATTTGCCCTGTTCGTACTAACAAAACATGTATTTCCATTCCCAGTGTAATAAAAGGGTACTTGGACGGGAATATAAACATCTCCCCAAAGTTGAACCAGATGCTGCTGCATGGCGGAACGCAGGACTCAGAAAAACAAGGGAGGTGCTCCACGCAGGGACGTGAGTCAGGACCCGGGACCGAGCGCTGCGAAGCATTCATTCCTCGCCCTCCGTCCCCTCGCCCGGAGCCGGGGGGGACGTCCCTGTGGAGACGGGGGAAGAAAAAAAAGCCTGGATTTGATTCTCGGTGGCCTCTCGCGTGAGGCCTTTTCCCCCCCCGGCCGCCGCATGCACAGCGGAGCCCGACCCGGCGCCCTTAAACCTCGGCACGAGAGGAAGGCTGGGCCTCCCAACGACTCTTCCTAACCAATATTATGCCAAAAACGTCACAGGGTCGAGGAAAGATGGTGAGGAGAATTCATGAGGAGGTACAAAGAAGCATCTTTGTCCACGTTTCAACGACATAAACAACCAGGTTCAAAGTAATACTTTATTAACAAGGCTACAAATGAGTTAAGCTGACGGGCATGATCGACGAGTCTCAACCATGATCTCTAGTTCATGTGACATGTGATACGACACTATTGAAACATTGTTGCCGCAAGGAATTGTGGGACAGAATTGTCTCCTTTCCTTTCCTAAAGGATGGTCCAGTGTTTCCTAGTGAAGCACTGAAGCTCCTTTCCTTAGAATTACTTCCACTTCCACTACTTCAGGGTCACTTCGCTCAGTTAGGAACCTTCATGAGAAGATGTGACACTGTGAATCAAGCTCACGGAACCCTGAAGTCCCCTTTTTAAAGTGTGATCTCATTTGACAGTGACAAAAAATGAAGAGGACACGTGACAATTGTTAAACGTTATATTGTTTTTTGAAATGGCAGTACAAAAATACAAAAATACGTTGATGCATTTGTCATTCAAATTTCACAGTAGGTACAGAGAGAGTTATTTACAGGAGAGTCATTGAGGTGTTCCATAGTGAGAGGATTACATCAAGAAATGAGCTTTGAGGCTAAAGACTGGACCGGCAACTCGTCTCGGCCGGCAGGCGGACCGATCGACCCCTTGCGATATAATCGGGCATATCCAATTGGCCTTAATCGCAGTCCATTCTCAGACAAATTGAATTTCCCTTTCAGTCAGACGATGCTGATTACGTTTGTCCATCCAGTAAGTTCTGAGAAAGAATCAAATCAACATGAAAGCAGCCAAACAGCGGACCGAAAAAAAAGACAACACGTCGAGAAAACAAAGCCGAGCTTGTTTAAGCCGAGCCGACCTTCTCCTCCAGACAAAAGCCCAAGCACGTACGACTGCAGCGGCCCAGTTCTCAAACCACGCGGGCAGAATTTAAAGTGGCATCAACTTTCCCCCGACAAGCGAGGCTTTCCATCAGCTTGCAATAGACAAAAAAAACCCACAATAAATACGATTCATGCGTCACCTTTCCAGAGGATATATGGATTTGTTACTTGGGTAAAAACATAAATAGAGTTTGATACCTTCTCCAATAAATAGCAGTGGTATTCTATATACAATATGCACACATCTCCCAAGGAGCCAGTGAGATAAATCCGTCTGGTTCCTCTGCCAATTGCTCCCTGGGACTCCGCAGCTCTTTTCGAGGCAGTTACACTTTTATATTTCTTCCAACGGAGGTCTTCTAAATTCTATCGTCACTCTGTGTACAAAGAGGAGGGGCAGTGATTATGGAAACAAAAAGAGGTCATCGTGGGAAGCTAGTGGCGTGGCGCTCGGGAACTGTCACGGATCGGACTGGTCTCTTCAGGCGGGAGGGAGGGGGGGGGGGGGGGTGGTTGCACCTACACCGCGTTTTCCTCGCTGCCTTCGAAGCGTTGAGGTTTCCGCGGGGGACCTGCAGGCAAAAAAAGAATAGTCAGTGGCACAGGTCCTCGCTGTCACGCAGGAAGTCAGAGGCGTTTTCGGGGGGGGCCTTACTGTTGCAGTGGCCGAAGTGGCGGACGCCTATGGAGCGGCCCAGGAAGCAGGTGGCCCGGCGGAGGTGGCAGGCGCTCGGGTAGGTGATGTTGTCGTTGCCGCAGATCTGCTGCTCGGACATCGAGGGGATCGGGCACGGGGTGGCGCGGCACATGACGCAGTGAGCGCTGTCGGTCTGGTCGGTCACGCAGGTGTGCGTCCCGGGACACACCACGTTGGAGCAGGACTCTGCGGGCGAGGCCAAAGGTGTGGCTTTAAGTTTCCTGTTGCGCAAACAGCATCGCCTGGACACACTTGATACCTACTTTTGCAGTCTCCTTGGTACATGACCTCCAGGTCCGGGTGGCCCATGCAGCGGGCCATTAGCAGAGAACACTCATCTCCGTAGGACCTCCCGTCGCTGCCGCACACAGCGGGCCTCCGGGTAATGTGAGAGCAGTCCGGAGAGCACACACACTGGGGCCTTCCCGTCTTCATTTTGCAAACCTTCCCGGGACTGCAGCTCACTCCCTCGCAGGTCTCTACGAAAGCACGGCGAGAGGTTGCAATGTTACTGTTTTAACAAGTCTGCAGGACAAGACACCATTTCCACCGTGGGCAATATTTACAATAATCACATCTCCGTGTGATCGGCTGCACGCGGACTGGGGGTAAGCTTCCCCGCGGAGGGGTGACGGGGGCGTCAAAGAGCCGGAGCAGAGCACTTCATGGGCCGAGGAGGGAGGAAGCGGCGTAACCCTACACGGTGCAGAGGCGACGTTGTACAATGCACACAGGTTTCTTCCCAGGACCTTGAGAGTTGATGTCTGCTCTCCTCTGAGGAGCTTATTTCCTGTCTCTACCACCGCTTCAATATCCTGTTTTATTTGTTGTTGTTTTTCTGTCTCTTTCCCTCCTGGACAACTTTTGGTTGGTTCGTATTATTCTAAATATTTTGTCTCTCACATAGTTTCCAATAACGCTGGTTGTCCTCAACCAAACCGTTGATGAGCCACCGCTCAGGCTTTTCATTCCATACCCACGTTTTCCTCCCACGGAATTCCAGACGATCGAGATAGTGGACCGCGTTATGAGTCCCAGACATCAATATTCATCGATGCTCTTCACTCGACCTATTGGCATGCACATTGCGCAGGATCGCTGCGTTGCATGTGATGCCGGAATGCATTTCCAAGTGAACCTGAATGAACCCTGCAGGAGGGGAAGCTTCTCGGTCCAGCCGGGTGGAGCTAAGTGGAACGATCTACGTCTGCATTTAGTTAACGGACGCTTCCCCGGGAGCTCATTGCGTAAATGTGTTGATTCACAAATGTGGGTTTTAAAATAACTTATTTTAGTTAAGAGTTATTTAGTGTAACATAGCAGACAACTTTTAAATCCGCAAATTATATGTATACAGAACTCCCAGTACTTTCTTTCCAACCACACCCCTGACCGCAGTCATGTTTGCTCACAGTGTGACTGTAAAGAATTTAAATGTGGCTTTATGACAGTTCACCACATCATTTTACATGTGATGAGTAATTCCGTAGCACTGAGAAACCGAAGCAATACACCATTACACAAGCAATTGATTTACTGACTTATTTTCTTTTTTCTTTGGTTTTAAATTTGGTTTGTTTACCTTTGCAGGGTTTACAGGACACGATTCCCAGGAAGCCCAGCAGGCTGACCTCATTCATGGGCATGCTGCTGTTGGACCACGCGGTGTCCAGGCGTCCGCTGGCACAGCACTCCTCCCGGGTCACCCCTCTCATCAGCACCATGTCGCACCTTTGGTCCTGACTCTGCTGCAGCCAGCACATCCCAGCTGGAGAGCAAACGGGTGGACGCGTGATATCATTCAGAGGTACTTCACCTCCAGTCCATCACCTCAGATAAATAGGCTAATAGTCTTCTTATAGTGTGTATTTTGTTTCAAAAAGCAAATAAATGTACAGCAGAAAAGTAACTCACTATGATAACTGCAGGAAGATTTATTCTTTTAACATCATTGCGACATACTACTATTTTAAAGTACAAAAATAAAAACTCACTCACCACTGGCAGGATTCTTCCCAATCTGATACAAAGAGAGAATCACCCCAAAAACAGGAATGAAAAAGATCATCGTGGACTCGAGCTTGTACAAAACTTCCTGAAAGTTTATCTCTTCAAACGTCAGCAAGGAGCAGCGACGTTCCTCCGGCAACGCGAGCGGGTCACTCTGACTCTGCTCCGCGAGCAGCTCTCCCTCTTATGTGAATGGATGTGTTGTGGACAAGTGATGTCGTTCCCCCTCAGTCTAAATATTTAGCCCAGATGGAATTATGCGGCTGGGATGGGCGATCCTCTCAGCCAGTAATAAGCCGGGGAAGGACACAGTTCGACTCTGACTCAACTTCCAGAGTCGGGAAATGATCCCTGCCCTCCAGCGCCAGACGCCGGGTACTTACATGACCTCACTGGACATTTTCACACCATTGTGATCTCATTAACGGCTAATTGAGTGCTAGAACCTTTTTCACCATGACTGATTGAATAGACTGGATTGAATTTGCTGTTCAGGTATTTGGGGAAAATACTTTATTGCGTAACAACCTCTGATCGTAAAGTGCCCAGTTTTCTTTTCTCTGTATTGTCTCATTTCTCCTTAAATGTGCCACATCCCAGACCTATTCGTGCCCGTCACAAATGGTATATGCTTTCAAAGCTGTAGTTCTCTGGCTATAAAGAAAAGCTAGAAATTACGTTCTCATTCCTTATAACCTCCAAAAGCGACGTGATCCAGCATTGACCCCCCCAAGTTGTTGTCTCTTTCAAGTGGAAATGCGTAGGACAGGAAGTGCAGTCGTTGCACAACAGTTTTCTAACTTCAGGCCTTATTGTGTTCAAACACATTAATGTCGAGAAGCAAAATATCCGCAGCGACAGTCCTTGGGTCGATAAAGTTGCCATGCCTCATTTAGTTGACTGTCTGGGTATGTCAATGCTGATATTTCACTCCACAGCTGCGGTTAGAGTGACGCGGAGAGATGAGGGGGCTGTCGGGGTGAAAGCGGTCTCTGCCCTTGAGCAATATCTCAAGTTCAAAAAAGCACAAATAACGTTGGAGCTTGTCGAGAACATTCACGTACCCGCATTTTCAATCGATAATCGAACACAGACAACCGCGGTGACCAAGACGGAACATATGGTGGAATATTGTGCGTATCCATATCTGGATCTGACACCATTCAATCTTTAGAAAAAATAGAATGCTCTGGTAGCTAGAGGCTGCATCATCAGCATCGTGTTAGATGAGAACATCTGCTCCTCTCCTCTCTCCTCCTGCACTCGTTCACCTCCCTCCACTCGGAGGCACATGCTCTGGAGTCCGCCCATCTGTCACCACTTCTTTTATCTAAAACTCCTGTTTGATCGCTGCGGGAGGATGAAATGAAGGTAGTCTTTGTGAATGATGTTGCCTTCCTCGGTGGAGATCCCCAGGGCGCCGAAGGAATGCCGGCCGACCTCGTAGGAGACGGAGGACCGAAAGAGAGCGGCGGAGAATGGCTGTGGGTGGCCCGGCCTCCTCGCCCGGGTCTCTGCAGATCCACTCAGCCCGTCATATGGTTTGGATCATTACTGCAGAGCTATACAAATAAATGCAGCATGCTGGGGACTTTGGAGCATCCTGTGATGTGTGATTTATATTAGAATGCAGCATGCCGCGTCGCATCTTTGAGAAATATTGGTTCCCTTCAAGTGGCCGGGTTCCGAGGGGTAGGATGAAATCGAAGAAGCCCGTTGAGAACTGAGTTGAGTTCATCTCTTCGGGGCAGGTGTGTGGAGCTCGGTTTGTCATACCGTACATTTATTTAGCTGAAAAAGGGGAAAACGTTACTGCCATCTAGTGGAGGAAGTTTGCCGGCTGAAAGAATTCAATTCTTCTTCAAGAACAGAAGATATATTTTGTCAATTATTACACCTATTAGAAGTTTAGGGTTTATCTACTATTTTGGAGCATAAATAGCCAATCTTAAGCCTTGAATATGTTGAGGGTATCTCGAAATATAATCAGAAATGAAAGGCAGTCCAAATGTGTTGGGTAAAAAATGTCATGAAAAGAAAAGTGGAGGTCAGTATAATAATAAAAATAATGAGATATAAGTCCTGTTAAAAAAATATCAGGGCAAAACTGTCCTAGAAACAAAATGTAAATCTCTTTGGTTGAAAAATGATTGGAAAAAAAGTCAAGATCGAAAAATGTTTTGGAAAAAAGCCACAAAAAAAAGTAAAAAAAATTATGGAAAAAAACAGTCCAATGGTCAAATATGCCAGGTTGACCAATGTCATGGAAAAAAGTCAAGCAAATATTAGGTACAAAAATGCCGTTCTGAATATGTTGGGTTGGGTCAAAATATGTCAGGTCGAAAAGAATCTAATAAAAAAGTCATAAAATATGTCAAAACATTTAATATAAAATAAAGTTTAAATATGTTAGGTCAAAACATTTCATGGATTGAAATGAAATTTTAGGTCGAAAAATCTCATCGCATCTATTTTTTTCAAAAAGTCAAAATATTTTAGATTGAAAAATATCATGGGAAACGTCATGAAATGTTAAGTAAAAATATTGAGTAAAAAAATAAATCAGGTTAAAAAATGTAATGGAAAAAAGTAAGAAAAATAAGTCAAAATATGTCAGGTCAAAAGAAATATGTCAAAACATTTAATAGAAAATAAAGTTTGAATATGTAAGGTCAAGACATTTCATGGAATAAAAAAGAAAAAAATCAGATCAAAATTTCTTTTGTAAAAAAGTCAAAGAATAATAGGCTAAAAAACGTCATGGGAAAAAAGTCAAAGAATATTACGTTGAAAAATGTATATTTCAAAGAATCCAAAATGGTTATGGAAAGAAGTCCAAATATGTTTAGACCGAAAAGGCCATGGAAAAAAAGATATACAATAGTTTTTTTTGCTTTGCATGAACCCCATTGGCCCATTCATTTCTTCTGTATTCAACCAGTCATCAAAACCAATAGTTAACATGAATTACCGTCAGCTATGATATTATTTGAGTAGCTAGCTGAAACCCATGCCAGAACTCGGTCATCCAAGGTTAGCAAAGGAAAGCTTGGCTCGTAGCTCGGTAATATTATAGCACAATGTACCCTGTGGTTTATTAACATTAACTGTTGCGTTAATTCTAAGCTGTAAAGTTGCAACTCCAATGAACGAAAACGACCAGATGAGGGCGCCCCTTGTCCTCTCTCAATCTTTCCTCCAGCAAGTGTACAGTCATCTCTGAGGCCTCAATAAATCCCCACAAGTCCCCGCTTAATAAAAAGACATTTAGCCTTTAAATGTGGCCGTCGAAGCTGCCCTAAATGTAATTCAGACGTGTTATCTCCGAGATCTTGAGGAGAAATGTTTTTTACTATCCCCGGGAATGACGTTATTTTCTGCAGCTGTCTCGGTGGAGTGTGTCCTTCATTCCACTGGGAAACGATTGCACTCTTGACCGATGGAGGGTGTGAAGTGAAGGACAGCGTATAGAAGACGTTTCCCCCCCCCCACTGGCCTGTCTGGAGTTGTGGTGCTGCCCAGTACGTCACGCGGCCCAGCCGCGGTAATTGCTCCATCCGAAGCGGCCTGGCTGGAAGCAGCTGCATCATCTATCTACTCAATCTACTCCTAATGCGTGTTACCGATTGAACCGGCAATGAGGGTATAGGATCAGTGACCAGGCCGGATGGAATCACCCCCCCACCTCCCCCACCCCCGTGTCCCTTCTGCACACATCGCTCCTCCTCCACCATCACCCTCCTCTTCCCCAGCTTCCTTCCTGTGTTTAGATTATGCACATGGGAAGCACCCCCGGCGGTTCATTAATGGGGAAGGTTAATGTTGACGCACGCGCTGCCCAGGCAAGCATCTTCATCTTCCTCCCCCCCTCTCTCTTTCTCTCTCTCTCACCCCTCTTTGGTCGTGACTGAGGGTCTCCCTCGGGGTCACAGTCACCTCCTCCGGTGCCCATGAAGAAGTGTTTCTGTTCAACTTGAGTTTGACTTTTATGACTCCGGAGTCTACGGACTCAACACTGAGGTGAAATATTAGTTCTGTCTCCGGAAGGGTTTCTCGGTTGGAAGTCGAGTGATTGTGTCGAAAGCCAATTGCTGCCGATGTCACTATTTAATCAGAGTACATTAACATCCATATATATCCCACATATTGGACGACTCATCAGATCAGATTACTGTCATTTGAGGAGATGAAAATATCTAATTTATCATTTCATGGCTGATGACTGGAACAGCCTCAATCAATAGTCATTAGAATATTTAACTGGTCATTTCTTTAAGTGTGTTACTTGCTGATGGACTGCTGAGTGCCGAGGATGCAGGAAACTGTTGGATGTTTCCTGAGAAAAAGTCACATGGGGTTAACAAGTTCCTCATAAGTGATTATAAATGTCTTGTGAGGTGTCTTTAACGCATAGTAAAGTAAATAAACATCTTATGAGGACAAATTACCTATTAACTAACAAATCAGAATCAGAAATATAATTATTTCTGTTCATCACAACCAGTTTGGACCCTTTGGAACATCTACCAGTGAGAAGGCCCAAAGCATCTGTCCTCAGGCAACTCCGAGCCCCTTACAGTCATTTTCGTAAGGAAGAAAAAACAGCCAACGCAACTTCCGCACTGGTCTAGCAAAGCCAGCGAGGTGCCATCGAGCTCTGAGTCACCAACAAACAAGAGTCTGTCTCCCGCGAAGGCGTCATCCTCGCTCACGTCCCACAATTTCACCACCAAATAGTCACATGTCAGTTTCCCCCCCCCTCCGGCACGCTGGAGGAGTGATAGAAAACGTAATAGCTGGTCGGTTCACAAGAACAAAAGCTAATGTCACCCTCTGCAGTGTGCGTAGTGCTGCGTGCGCCACGCGCTGGCGTCTCATGGGAAAAGTCACCATCGGCATTTGACCAAGCGCGTTGGTTGTTTGTCCCTAAATTGCACCAAAGTCGGGGGTCTCCTGGAACACGAGCCTGCAGAGAACCTGGCGTGTGTGAGCAATCCTCCTTTTCCCTCCCAAGCAGCAATTCACTTCACCGTCAGACGGAGACAAAGTGCCCCCAAAAAGCTCAGGTGCACGTTACATTTTAGATGAGATTTCCTTCTTTCTTTTTCTCTGTCGCAGAAAAACAATATCAGCCGGACACGTGTGAAAAAACACCTTTTGTTATGTTATTTGCACGGCTCCTTTTCAGAGTCTTTTGGCCCAGGGATCAGGTATTGGGTGTCTTGCTCAGACACTTCGACGTGAGACATGCAGCAGCCGGGGCCTCAAACCACCGACCCCTGCGGTTCCCAGCACGCCCTCACCACCCCTCGCGCCACGTCGACCCATATCGTGCCGCGATCTATTTGTTTTCTTCTCGTGAGTTTGCAGAGCCTGTTTCGTTCAAACAACGGCGCAAACCGCCGTCGAACCCGTCCTCTCGAATCCGTGCGGGATCCGAGGCCTCAAACAGAGAATATGAAGTATGTGTTAATCGGAAAACCATCTCTCTCTCTCTCTCTCTGCCTCCCCTTAAAAGACTCTTGACTACACAAGAGCTGATGCTCATGCCGGCAGCAGTTACCATGGCAACAAATGACTGAAGTGTATTTGTTGCCGCTGCTGCGCTGAAAGCTGTCAGAAACAGATAAATAAAACCAAACAGGGGAGGGAAAGTTTTGATTCGATCTATTCGTGATGGAGCGATTCACGCGTCCATACGCAGAGACCGACGCTGCCATCGGCTGCTGCCACCGCCGGCGTGGCTTCACATCACCACTCCTGATGTTTCCTGCTGTTTTTTTATATTTTCTCTATGTTCGGCGAGCTGAGCAATGGGCCCACAGCAACAAATTAAATCCGTCTCTTCGCCGTACATAAGGCAGCAGCCTCCGGACAGCGACTGGGAAAAAAAAGACCGACTGGCTTTTATAAATATTTGATTATGCAAAAGGGCAAAGGGGTGTCTTTTGAATTAAAGACCCCGCTCGATGTGAAGACGAACATCGCCGTGGACTTACAGTGAGTCCGCGGCACCGTGATGCAGTCGGTGAAGTATTAATGAGGGCCTCGCCTCTTGGAGAGGATGACGCTCGCCAGGCTTCACAACCGAGCATTACGGTTGCAATAGGAAAGCATTTTCATTGATACTTGACAGCGCTCTAAGTAAAGTGATAGCCTACGCTATCGATTCTTTACCGCCGTAGTTCTCAAGTGTGCGTGCCATCGTGTGGAGTCACTACATGTGTGGGCAGCTAATTCCGTGTTAATGCATTATTATATATTATTGTAGATACAATCTAGATGGTTTTGGGATTGACTGACTGACTGTAATTTGGTGTATTCCAGCAGAACTAAACAAGAAAACAGAGGCGTGCGTGCACGTCGAAGCACTGTTGACGTTAGCTTTTAGTTCCAGCACATCCTCAGTGAT